ATGCAAGCTTATTGTTAGCCACAATTCCTTTTTTTCATATACCGGGGATCCGGACACGACATGGCACTTCAACCTCTCCTGAGACGTCGGCCTGAGCTTCGGCTGAAACAGCGGCTAATGCCTCGGCAGTTCCCGCGGAGAGTCTCGGATAATCCCCTTGCCATACGTTAAGGTAGTCACTAGTATATCACTGCAGCAGTACTTTACAACTTAACAGACAGCTCAATTGTTCTTTTGACATTACTTAGCTTAATTTTCTGTCAGAAGTCACCACCGAGCACGACAAATTCCGAAGAGACATTGGAGTACAAGTGAACACTGAAAATGATCCTTTCAGAAGGGAAGAAATGATTGCCATCTTTAAAATTCAACACGAAGGTGGACTGCTCCTACTAACTGGAGTATGCTCATTTGAGTTGTATAACATCATGGAACTATACGTGTCATGGAACTATTCGTTATTGTTATCTCAAATAATAGTTATTGTTATCTCAAGAACAAGACAACTTTTATGCATATATACGCTGGGCGAAGTACTTGATACGAAATTTGGTTGTCAGAGAACAAAAACAATTATTTGTTCCTTTTGAGATGCATTTGCTTTGATCAAACATATTAAATAACTTATCTTAACTGTCAGTATCTAAAGGGGAAAATTACTGAACCCCTGCGGGGAGCCAGTTATGTGTAGCTACATCAATGTATACTGAAGTTTTCAGGGTAAACACGTGTATTATATCTGCTGAGACGACCTAAAAAGATTGAGCAAACAAGACAAGAGGTTACATGTTTACCTCTTTCGTACATGTGTCATCCATTCTTTTGTTCGTTTGTTGTTTCTAATTACCTTGAAGAGATAAAAATTTTCTTTTTTTGTTCTGTGTACACGCTATTCTATTCCTTTGATATATCTATTCATGTACAGGAGGAAATGCATACACTAGCCGCTTTGACATGACAGAAGCCGAAAACCCCCTCCAAGAGCTCCATCCCGAACACATTTTTAAGTTTTTAAAAATCCTATTTCGAATTGAATTTGCTAAACAAACGGAGGGCATCTGCACGCCTCAGCAACGAACAAGATTAATTTCGACCTCCCTCTTACGTAAAACAGAAATCTCGGTTACGCCCCTTCTCTGCAATAGGTAATGTTAGTTCAGTCATTTCATGAATTATCTTGTTGTTTTACAATGCTCCTCCCTTGTTCAAAAGTGAAACTTTACAAGTTTAAAATCATATCTGCAACTCCACAAAGCCAATAATGGTAGTATCGTATGCCTATCCAGCACATATAGACCTTTTTCGTATATTCTCGTACCCAGCTACCTAATAAGAGTATTCGGTATGGGCGACGAAAAAAATAATAAAACGTTTAAACCTGTAAATAGTAGGGGAGGCAAAAGGAAAATGTGTGACGGTTACGCTTATATCCTAAACACCTTCTATTGGCGTGGCGACGGCAAAACAATGTCCACGCCCATACTGGAAGTGATGACTATAAGAAACGAATTGGTGGCGGGCAAGTGAATTTGTGCTCTTTATACTTCACAAAAGTATGCTTCTTTACACAAGAAATTGTCATAGGAACAGAACTCTGTAAGGCGACATCTTGATGCCACTAAACTACAAATCTTGATGCCATCAAGCCACATTTTGTCGTCGGACCCCAGACAAGATGACAATGACTTATTTTTGGTTTAAATGTTTGTGATTTATTGCTTTCGGGAATAGTGACACATCCAGCAAGAACACCGACAATTTTGTATAACTTGCTGTTGATATGATTGAATAATCTATACCAAGACAAATTTTCTGAGAATATGCCTAATAATGTTTCATGATTTTTCATCAATTCAGTCTGCATAGAACAGTAGCGTAGACAGGCGGAGAGAGTTGTTTGCGGCGTCAAACAACCCACCTCCCATTCCTCGAAATGATCCAACCCCCCCACTCCGCACCCTATTCACGCCCAGCCCCACAGTCAAACCCCCCCCTTTCCTCCCCCTCCTCCTCACTTCCCCTCCCCGAAAAACATTCCTGGCTACGCCACTGACACGAAACTAAGACAGTTTTGTTTAAGGTGACATGTTCAATGCTTCTTCGAAGTAAATTTTTGTTATGTTTCATTAACCCTAAGGCAATGAGACCTAGCATGGTATTTCCTTTGGCTATTTATTCAGGTTTGTATCAGAGAAACAGGCTGGTCTCGTCCGTATGCATTACAAAAGTAATGTCTGCCAATATTGATGAGATCATTCATGTACTTATTAAGAAGCAAGGGCCCCAATATGCTACCTTAGGGCACCATATGTGATCGGCATTATGAGAAATGACGATCAATCACACCACCTACGTTCTTCTAAATATGAAGACAAAAGTGAAAGCGGTAAACATGTATGCCGTGACGGTTTGTTTTTCAGCCGCCTCGGTGGCTCTGAGGCGAGAGCGCTGGCCTACGGATCCCCATGTGGCGGGTTCGAATCCCGGCCAAGGTGCCCGAAACCTGACGGAGGCTTATTGCGGAGAAGGCGCCATGTAACCGAGCTTTCGGTTGCACGTCAACAGATTCCCAGGTGACCCAAATTACTCCTCCTCAGTCCTCCGCTGGGGCGTGCCAGATGCCCGTCGTTGGTTTGGCACGTAAACGCCCCAAATTTGAATTTGAACGGTTTGTCTTCGTAGCATTGCAAGTCTAGAAACCAAGATTGCATAGAGGCATGTCTTCGAAAATATATCAAAGCTTGCACTTTTTCTTATTGCGAGCTACGTTTTAGATATGGAAATCACATTCTGCACTACGATATTGAGGATTTCATTTGCAATAAAAACGAAATGCGCGAGTCACGCACAGACACGACATTCGTACTGCGAACATGAGCCTGAGCAGTGACTTCAGATATTATCCGTGTGGCCGCCCCATACGCAGGTTGTGAATCCGCAACGTACTTCCAACAGCAGAAACAATTCATATCATTTATTAGCATGTATACAAATATGTACATCCATACCTGCACCACTGCGTTTTTCTTAACAAAATGGTGCTTGAGGTGGCAGCACGAGCATGTTGACACTGCAATGGCGGATATCCTTTCACACGCAACAGAACAAGGGCCCAATAACGAAATACAATATTTGATCTGGTCCTCAAGTGTCACGTAAACGTAAGACAGCATATGTGCAAACAATAAAAGTTTCACAAAATGAATGACAAGCAAATCACAGTATAATCAGTGATACATAAAACATGTGTTTTATGTATGTGTCCATAAAACATGTCTAATTTATCAACATTTTAAAATTAAACTCTGACAATGTTTATGCTGGCTTTTGAAAAACATTGTAGACAACTCCCAAAGGCAGACTTGTGCGAAAGTTAGTGAATACCAGGTAAACTAGAAACTGGGTACGGTTACTAAGGATTTAATACCGAAATGCATCTGAGTAATTACTAAATACTCCAAAAGCAACTGAATACTTTCAAGACACTCTCAAATTGCCAAAGCAAAAAAAAAAAAAAATCAAAGAAGGATAAAGAGACATTGTCACTCCCCACCCCTGCTTAATACCCTATCAAGACAAAGGTTGTACTTTCTGCCCCCACTGTTATTCACCCCCTACTTTGCAGTCTATGTCGGGAGGCTAAAGCTTTGTCCTTTGCTTAACCATAAATGAAGGAAAAGATCTTTGATGCCCTGGCCTGAATTGAAGTCCGCAATTTTTCCCGACCTTGGTGCTCCCCCTCCCCCGCCTCTTCCCTCCCCCCCCCCCTCCCAACTTACGAAGTGAGTTGCTCTCCAAAGTATTCAACATTAACTTGTGTAGAGTATTTAAGTTACGTACAGGTCTGCCCAAGGGACCGTAATTCTTGACAAAACGCCTTCTAAGTTTCGAGATGTGTGATGATGAAATAGTAAACACCTGTAAACCATAAACAAGCGACTCACTGCTGACTGCTCATATCAGGAGGCAGAAACTGATGACCTAACGCTTCAAAAGGTGTTTCGGTGAGCCTCCAAATGGTTTCCTGTAATGTAGCACGCTGTAACCTCACTCGAAGATTTATGCGAGCTGTCCTGCCATCATACCCAAATGTCAAAATATAATTGAAAAAGTGGGAGTTAAGAAATCTAAATTGCGCATCTAGACCGGGCCCTCATAAATAAATAAATATCACCAATGCTCACAGATGGCACCACCTAGCTTGGAAGTAGAGTGAAAGCTAGGAGACGCTGTTCGGAAAGAGATTAAAGAGCCCGAGATGCTGAAAGAAAATAAATTTGAGCATGGCGACAGGGTCACTGAAATAAATCTAAGCAAAACCCAGCAGTATGCTGCATGCGATGTCAGCAATGTTTCAGATAATTAGAAAGTTGACCAAAAGCTTTCGATAGAAATCATCCAGCATTTCTGTGTCGATATCACAGTCTGAATAAGTTAACAAAGAAAGATGTATACACCGCACCTCAAACAAAATGTTACGGTGAAAATGAAATGATTTACTGTACACTGCAGGTATTGAAAAATGGCGGTTGTCTTCTAGATCGGGAGCGTCAACTTAATCTTTTCTCTGCACCCGTCGGCGGTCGTTCAGCTTTGTCCTCTTCATTACAAGATAACCCTTATCACATCAGGGCCTTAGTACAGTGGTGAAAAGAGCCAACGAAGCGTGCTGTCTCGAGCTACGCGTCATGCTGGTGGCGGGGAACCACTTCAGTCGGTCGCCGGCCGGGTGCGAGATTAGCGGCTATCAACATCCGGCGGCAAATGATTTAAAATAGGTTAGCGCTATCAAACATAGCAAGGGGGGATAGTCGGATGTTGATACCCGCTAGTCTCTCGACCGGCCGGCACTCGGCTCGCGTGGTTCCTATCGCAGCCAGCATGACGCACGCATGTAGTTCGACACCGCACGTTCCTGTGGCGTCGTTGGCTCTTTCAACGACTGCCCAGGGAGCACACATGTTTCAGGGTAAACCCATTAGGACTTTCCTTTCCTTTTCCTGCAATACCATTTGCGTTGTGGATCTGTTTCGAGTTTGTAATTAAATATGCATCGCATATGCCCTACCATAACCTTTCCAATCCCTACTACTTCCCCCAAGTAGTCTAAAGTAGTCAAAGGCATGATGAGAAGCAAAATAAAAGGATACTCACTGTTCTCCTCAACAACCTTGTTCTCTGCAATTTTAAGGTAAAACAAGCCCTTTCTACAAATATTCAATTTTTACCGTTAGATGCCAGCACGAGAAGCATAGGCAAATGTGCACAGACGCCTCATGCAACGATTAAAAACTAGACTCGTCGGATGTTTCAAAGCATTGACATATCTATCAATTCCCAACATATTAGTCTAAGAACTTGGAAGGTTCTGCTTATGTAAATTTTCCATTGAAGATATGCCACGAATTTATTTGACCGTAGTCAAGGGCAGCCATGACTGTTTTACCCTGAACCTCTAGCGTTCAACCACGTGCCTTAAGCTCAGCTCTTAGAGAAAACCAAGAACTAAAATTCAAGCCTTATAATAAAAAAAAAAAAAAAGCTTTTTGATTCTTATTAATAAGACGCATAAGCACAGTAAAACTATAGACAACCCAAGCTCAAATGACATGATGAAGAGATGTGACAGATTCCAAGGACAGTTCTGTCCGTGCAATACCGAAAAAAAAAAATATTTGTTCATGTATGTACCATTTCCTGCGACAAGAGAATCCCAAAAGACCATCTCAAAAGTCTTGCACAACATCCTGAAAAGAACACGCGCGGGTGGGAGACCTGAGAGAGCTTCCTTTGCATGACTGCTATTGCAAGCAGCATATTGCAAGTGCACACAACTTGCGAGATGGAGTATAGACACTTTTAGGCAGCTGTGCATGGGCGCCGCCATAACCGACCTCGAGTTTTTGTTTCCTCTTATTCCGTTCGCTTCACTTCATCGTTGCCACAGCAGAACAGGTTATTGTCACTTTAGGTGCTACTGTGTCCTTGTCCCCAACGTACGCATTTGTGGAGGCTCGTCAACGCCCGCTTCAGTCAGTGGCTCAGCATATCGGTAAGAGAAGAAGGTCGGCTACGGCGGCTCAATCTGGCGCGTGCTTAAAGCGCCTATATGTTTATTTTCCCATTACTGTTTCATGCCACTGCTACAACAAAAAAAGCAAACAATCAAACGTTTCACATCCGTTTGCTTGCGCCCATCTGGTAACCGATTTCAATGTAAGCAAAATATACAATGTCAGAATAATTTTTAAAGTCCCAAAATTGCTCAGGAAGTCTTAATTAGACACGTTCCGAAAGTGTCTCTTCTGAATGTAGTCTCATTTCACAAGAATTCAACAAAATAATCTAAATTGCAGAGCTCTGCAAACATTATGTGATCCACAAGCCTGCTTTTGACCATACGTTGTGAATATTATTCCACAATGAAAACATTGTAAAAGTAAAATGACACATTCAAGTTATTTCTTTCCAGAGCTTCAATGCTTAGTTTCTCAAAATGCAATGTAAAAAATAATTTAATGATTTTCAATTTTTTTTAACTTTCTAGGGCACCCTTTTTCATTTGACTTACTAGATTGATGAAACATGTTCAGCAGTCTTACAATTGACATCATGACGAAATGTTTTTCGGAATTTTTAAGATAACAATCTTTTCACAAAATATAGCCCAATAATACTACAAAAACCATCAAAATCGAAACTTATGCAGAGAATCTTATAGATATGACACTAGTTGCTGACATTACATGTGGCTATGGGCAACAAGAGTGTCATGCACTTGAATCCCCTCCTTCACTTTAAATGATTTCACAGGCAAAAACAATCATTCATTTGTATTAGAATTTCATCCGTATTGCCAGATCCTTCAACATATCTCCATAATAGAACTGACCTATAAAAATCAATTCATATTTGGTGCGACAAACAATGAATTTTCTGAAACATTTGTTGCATAACGCTTGAAAATAAAAGTGGAAAAAACAGAGGGAGAACTTAACTCTTTTACTTGGCAAAAACTCGTTTTTCACATTGTGGTTCAAATGAAACCCATGTCGATAAAACCCATTGGCTCATTCAAGAACTGTGCAAATCGTAAATTTGAAGAAAAACATTCAAGTGACAAATCCCCTTAAGGGAAGTATTATCAAGTTGAGGTAGGAGACAATTTTTAGGTCATGGTCAAGCAATTAAATTTAGATTACTAATCTCGCATTCGGCTGAAAACTATTCTTCAGAGAAACATTGCCCATCTAATTTCAGGTACAAGTTTTAAAAACAAATCCTTTTCAGTTGACAACTGGAATGCGTGACTTACACTATGGATTGCAAGGGAAGTCATGGATATCCACAGAGCACCGAAGCCCCCAAGTTTTTACACGCTGTCAGTTGGTACAAACTGGCCTCGAGGTAACCCCACTTTGTGCAGCTTCATAGATAAAGGGGTAAATTCATTTTAGAGAGCAAAAAGGCCAGTGAGCCACACAGGCAGTGAGAACAGTACAGTTGTAGCCGACAAGAAATGATGCTTCAGAGTAATGCAAACTGAGCAGTTACCTTACTTTCACAATGATTAACAGATGGTCAGGTGTTTGTGTAGGGAACCCTGCATTTTGGCCAACTTCACTGGCATCAATATTGCCGCAAGCAATCAGTCAGTGAACTTGTTCATTTCATTTGCCACCAGAGTCTATACTCCAAAAACATTACGTCGATGTGGATGATGCCATTCCCCTCGCTGCTTTCCCACCTCATACCACACAAGCATAATGACACACACCAAGATGAACACTCCTTGGATAAGAGCAGCAAAATGCACTTGGCCACTGACAGACTATTCTAAAGTTCCGAAAGAACGCCCAACCAAAATTAAGAGATAAATGGTGAAAAACATGGGGTGGGCTATCTTTGGGGACGCCACAGCAAAACTTAATAAAAAATTAATCATAAACACCGGGCATCCGCTACAAACCACGTGACGCGGGAACTGATACTCCAGATTGCGAACACCGCAAATTCGCGTTTTCACGATGCGATAAACACACGGGAATTCGCTACGAACTCCTGTGTCACGGGAAAGGATACCGCAGGTTGCGGACGCAGCAGATTCGCGTTTTACCGTGCGCAGGACCTGCGGAAACCCGCCGAGAACTCTCATCTCACGGGAACAAATACCGCAAATAGCGGATGCAGCAGATTAGCATTTCACGATGCAATTTACACGCGGGAACTCGCATGTTACGGGAGTCGATATCACGCGCGCGCAGATTGCGGACAAAAACGCGGGAACCCGCTACGAACTCTCATATCAGACGTACTCGTACAGCAGATCGCGTGGCAGATGCCATTCCCGTCAGATATTACGTGACGTCTGACAAAAATCGGGGGATAGGCTATGTTTCGGAAATTTTATGTTAGATATTTAGCCAGAAAAACGGGATGGGCGATCTCTCGGGGGCGAGCGTTCTCTCGGAACTTTCCGGTAGTCACCCAGTTTATGTGCCAGTCTCGGATGCTGCTAGGAAGCAGCCAACTAACAAAGTACTACGCACAACAATCAATGGACGGAAATTAACTTTGCTGCGTGTCGCAGCGAAGTACACTGCGGAGATGTCACCACTCAAACTTTGGCCAACTGCACTTCCAAGACATTTGTGGAATTAAAACCTCAATAATGAACATTATTAAGAATGAGGGAACAAAAACCATGCTCTTGACCTTTACGCTCAATATCTTTTCCGCATCTTTTGGGCTTCTTCAGTCATATTGCTCAAGCTGGCCTGTAAGTCTTGGTTGAAACATTATTCAATCAATTCTATTGCCTAGATTGTTCATACAGCAAAGAGTTCTTAAGTACACAAAAAACAAAACAGCTTTTGCAATCTTGAAAACTTGATTGTAATAAAAATGACTAGTAACACAAAAAGAAAACGAAAAAAACCTCATGAATTACAACACACTGGGCCAGAAGGCATCAATGACACTTCCGCAGAGATTGAGTCAAAGGTGCCGCCACAGTTGGGAAGATAAGAGTTGGTGGTCACATCACACTCGGAATTATGACCGGTGCTGTCACAGTTGGAAAGATAAGAGTTGGTGGTCACAGCCTCACACTCGGAATTATGACCGGTTTAGTTGGAGTCTCTTGTGGGACAATGACTTGTGCTTGCGGTAGCACTTCACTGTTTCCACAGCAATGTCGTAAAGAAAATACCACTTATGTCGACACCAACCACTCGGAAAGTGAACGATGATGCAACAACAATCCTGGATTTGTGATTATGCTGATGCAAGTCTTTCGTCGGTTTGTCACTTCACTTCAGGAAGGCTGCAAAAATGCACAGACTGTTAGAGCCAGCTGAGTATACTGGCACAATTCAAAACTGGTCAGATGAGAAATAGAGGATCGAACACCCATGGCAGGCATGTCACATCAATTCAAGAGTTGCAAAATACTGTACTAATTGCTTGTGAACATTTTTATAGCATACTAGCATATTATAGAGATACAAACCCAAGAGTGGGACATTATGTTTGCATTTTATTCTGTTACACTCTTAGTCTTGGACGCTATAAAGGTTCACCTCATCAGAAATAAAAAAACCATAAAGTCACTCAAAATTCTGCATGTACCGTAGAATACCGCGCATCCGCCCCATTCCACATTAAGCGCCCATTACCGAATTTGTAAGATCCGAGAAAATACGCACAGTATATTTATATGTAAAATTGATAAACGGACAAGCACCCATCCCCCATTTTTTTGTGATTATCACCAGTTTGAGTGGGTGCTTGCCCGGTATTTTACGGTATGCTGCAAACAGCAATAGGGTATTGAATTTTGTGCACACTGAAAACAGCACCAACGTATCCAGACTCGGAAGGAATTTTAATGCAAAAGTGATATTAGCAGGACACTATTATTTTGAAGTTGGTACAATCACAGTCAAGTCAATTTCGATTACCAGCACATTCGTGCATAAGACTTTCCGTCATTCTCACAGGTAGTCTAACCTTCTGTCAAATATTATCCCTCTCCTGAATTCACAATAATGTAGAGGTGTGCAAATATCATGACAGTGAATCGAATATGAATAGTACATTTTGACCACACACTGAAATCAAATACTTTTTAATACAAATATTTTCCATTACAAGTATTTTACATTTAATGTGAATTGAGCATGGATACACAAGAAACCACAGCTGGCACTTTTTTCTAGAAAGCATACCTATCAACAGAAACAGTTTTATTATGTGAAAAAAAAAACATTCACATACTTGTATTTTGAAGAAGAAAAAAATTGCAGTTGAATTTCTATCCATTGATGAAACTCTTATATGCAAAATTGTGTTTTATGAGAAAGGAAGCAGCAGACGCTAACTCCAATCTCAGTCTTCCAGGCATTGCGGCGCCATGTGTAGCATCACCCCTTCCTCATTTACGAAAACGAAACAGGGACAGAAAACAATAGACTACACAGGTTGCATAGTCCGCATTTTGTAGTCTGCGTAGTTTGTATTGTCCTCTATGTCCCTTTGTCATTATCGTAACTGAGACACCAACAGGCTCAACCATCCACACCATCCTCCTTTTGCACCGCGTTTTAATACAGAATGTGTTTTATCGGTCGACTTTCATAAAGGTCTGCAACGTTTTTCTGTATCGTTTGGCTGTAACGGCTGCAACGGCCGGCTGCAACGGCCGGCTGCAACGGCCGGCTGCAACGGCCGGCTGTAGCGAAAAACTGACACCGAAAAGTGTTATGCCCATAGGGAACTATAGAAAAAGACTTTAGTCCCCGGCAGGATATGAGCTCACCACCTTGCGATTGTGAGCCAAGTTCTTTACCAACCGAGCTATCCAGGGTTGGTAGTAGCTAGCACGCAATAACAAACTCATTGGCACAGCATGCGAAGGAGTGGTTCCGCGCTTTGCGGCCTTGGCCTTTCCCATTATGCCATGTCATCTCACAGCGTGTGTCAAAAATGGGAGCGAAGCTTCGTTAGGCGGTGTCGTTCAGATGCCCTTCTCTTCTTGCACAGTGGCCATGGCTCCTACGAAGCCACAAACGCTGATAAGTTAAGGCCTATCACAGATTCTGTTTACCAGTCTTTGTCAGCATAATCAAGCTTGTATAATTTTTTTCCCCGTTGCTTTTGATTTTGAAGTTTTTGCAGCTGGCAAATTCTCGAAGCACCCTGGAATCTGTAGTATTTCAGTTTTTTGTTTAAGTGCACCTTGGAATCTGTAATATTTTAGTTTTTTGTTTAAGGGATCTACATTATCTAGATGGTGCCACTCGGATCTTCCGGAGTGTCAGCCTGGCCATCGACGTCGAGATTTCACGGCCAACGTCGAGATTTCACGGCCGACATGGAGATACTGTCAGAAGCACTGCTCTAGTGCTTCCACATCGATGCTGCTGCTCCCAAAACAACAAGCTGGGACACTTCGACCCTGGGCGTGTCCAGCTACCGGGGGCGTCGAGCTTCAAAGTTTGCGCACGCAGCACATCGCACGCCAGCGCCCAGAGCGCCATGGTTCCAGGGAGGCCTCTTTCCCCCGCAGCCCCCGTGTCCCAATGCAGAGGCTGCAGTTCCTGCTGCAGCCCCTCCAGCTGTTCCAGTTCCCGAGGGTCCTCCCAAAGCAGAGGGACCCGTGCCCGAGCAACAAGGTGCTCTGGCGGCCGAAGAGTTAATATCGCCCAGCACCATGTTCGACAGTGCGTCTGGGGCAGTGAGAGTGCCGTCACCTGTGGGAGTGTCGTCCACACCCCCCATCGCGACACAGCCCAAGCCTTCCCCCAGACCGGAGCCTCCCGAAACCAGGGTGCAGACGCTTCGACTACACAGCACCAAGGTCGTTCAATCAGTCTCGGCGGCTGCCGGATCATCTGAAAGACTATTTCATGAACTGGTACAAGAACAGCCCCACCCTAAAGGAAATTTTAGACTAATTTCAAAGTGTGCGTGAATCAGACAAATTTTTTATTCATACTGTGTTGCCACCTCATAGCCTAGGTGCAATACTTCTTCCCAATGTGTTTTTGGCCAATGTTTTGCAGCGTGTTCTTCAGTCATTTTTGCCAATGTGTTTTTCTTCGATGTTTTGGCCTACAACTTGTCAGATGTCTTATCATTCCAGTCTGCATGTCGTGATAAGTTTAATGGCATTGCCACGAATTGCTTTCAGTGCATTTTTCTCAGAGCACTTTCTCACAGATATGCAGTTAGGTGTTTTGCTGGTACTTCCCTGTGGATTATTTTTGGAAAAGGAAAGAGTGATAATTTTTTTTTTTTAGAAAGAATAAAAGTACAAGTTATTTTTGTTTTAAGGACACGAAGGTGTATTTCAGTTTTTTGTTTAAGTGATCTATACTACCTAGATGGTGTCACTTGCCATCACGTACACCCTTGCCCCAAGGTGCGCAGCTCCACGCTCGCGAACCGTTCAGTAAACAGTGTGGCTCGAACTTCCAACCGACTCTGATGTCTCCTTCTTTCCTGCGGTTGGCGCACTGGTCCCCGGACCCAGCCGGCTACCGCCGTCTTCGGCATGTGAAACCATCTTTGCTTCCTGCAGGCCCGGTGGGCCTGCCTGTGCTCTTTTATGGGTTTTTTCATTTCAATGTACAACATTGTGAAGGATTACTATAGAATCCTTTCTGCCTATTTTGTTTTCTTTTTTTCTCTGTTGTTGCTGTTTATTTCTTTCACAGTTGCGATGTGTGGCCAGCGGTGCTCGCAGCACAGGCGTCCCACAGCCGACCAACTAGGCCAACTCTCTTCGACCATGGCACACTTCACTTTTCAAGGCTAAACCAAAGTTAGCTTGAGTAAGGATACAAATATGCACTGAAAAAGGCCAGCCACATGGCTACATTCAAAACATCCTTTACTCCCAAGTCCTGTGCTATTGTTCTCCGGTTAGCATTCATCAGTGCCCAAACTGTCCGAACCGTGTTGCAAGATGGTGAAATTCGCAATAAGGAATTGGAAAGCAGATGAAATTCTTGAGCTTTTGGTGTCCTGGTTAAAAAGCCACGACACCAGGCAAAATCTTGCGAAATCTGGCGAAAAATGCCTTGTGATCTCAAGCAACTGAAAGCGCTGCTGGTGCCGCATTAAAGCAGCCTGCGTGTGGTGATGCAAGCCGTTGCTTGATTGAGGTAGAGCAGTAGAGTCTGAGAGACACAAATTGAAGAGGCTAAATCAAGAAAACCAGTTTACAGCAAAGCAGCCTGCCCGGGAGTACACATAATGGTAGTACACCAGCCATTGGACGTCGTTCCAACAGGTGACAATATTTTTGTGTGTGCTTTTGAGATCCCTTTTTTGGGATTTGATCAGAACATACATGTTTCAGGTACAAGAGAAATTGTTTCTTTCTCTGACAACCCAATCTTTTAAGAGCTATTTAGTGCACAGCAAAAACAATGCGCAAAACTTTATATTTGTCTTGTGGTGACACTGCAATGAGCATGGTCATGACATCTGCGTTCTGCTGGTTCGTTTAGTTTCACTGTAGCTTGGTTAATTGAGCACTGTGCAAAAGTACATGAAACTGATTGGGTTAATTTTAACTGTTCTTGAACTATGTAATCTGAATACAAATGCTCAATCTCTTTTAGGTTTTTTATGTCAATTTTAGTGTTAGGTGAAATCTAGTGAGATTTCCACCAGGGTGTGGTAACCCACGTAGCCACGTAGCTCACCACCTGATAGACCGGTTCTTCCCCCTCTCCCACTTCGGAGAACGTAGCCGAGGAGAGGAGAATGCCCGTCGCCCAAGACGGGAAGTGAAAATAAACCAGTTGAGTTTTGTTATGTGCGCTCTCTTGGTCTCTCTCACTCGACCTCGCTATCACCCTCTCAACATTGGTGACCCAAAACTCGGCAGCCATGCCATGGCAGAAGAGGATCACGCCGCCCAGTCCATTGCCGCCGTCAACATCAAGTTGCCACCATTCTGGACCACCGACGCTGAACTTTGGTTTGTGCAAGTCGAATCGCAGTTCGCCGCACGACGCATCATGTCAGACCTCACAAAGTACCACCACGTGGTGAGCAGCCTGCCGCCTGCAACGGCATGTGAGATCCGGGACCTGTTGTTCTCCCCACCTGCTGAGGACGCTTTCAGGATGCTCAAGACCCTCATCCACCCGGTTACCCCTTCAGAGCCCCAGCAGCTGCAGCAGCTTCTTTGCAAATAAGAAATTGGGGATTGGACGCTGAGCCAACTACTGTGGCACATGCAACAATTGCTGGGCACGACTAAGACGGGTCTGGACAGTTCCTGCTTCGGGAACTCTTCCACCAGCGGCTCCCCACAAGTGTGCGCATGGTACTCATATCAGCCGAAGAAAGGAGTCTCTCCAAGCTGGCCGAGCTCGCCGACAGACTCATGACGGTTGCCCCTTCCGCCATCTCAGCCGTGCAAGCGGAACCGGTTTTCTCGGACCAGATGCAAGACGCAAGCCGAACTCTCGCGCCTCGCTCACAAAGTGGCGGCCCTGCAGGTGTCTGGTTCCCAATCGTCAAGCCTGACAACGCCGTGACTGCAACAGCAGCCAAAGGTATGCTGGTACCACCTAAGTACGGCAACGCTGCACGCAACTGCATACCGCCCTGCGACCACTCCCCGGGAAACGACCAGGCCCGGCACTGACGGCGGCCAGTGCCTCCGCCTTGCAGGAAAGTTACCCCTCGGTGTTCTCCCTCACCGACCGCAATAAGGGTGTTCGCTTCCTCGTCAACACGGGCGCAGAGGTGAGCGTGATCCCAGCGTCGACTGTCAATGGGAAACACCCAAGCTCATCCCCTCAACGGGCCGTGAACAACACAATGATCGCCACCTACAAGAACCACTCACTGGTCTATCGATCTGGGCCTCAACAGAACATTCCGCTGGGTTTTCATCGTGGCCGACGTAAAGTTCACTATCCTGGAAGCGGACTTCCTTTGGCACTTCGGCCTTGTAGTTGACGTCCGAAACAGACAGCTGCAGGACCCCGCCTCACAAGCAGCTGTGCACGGCAGGCCTTCCAGACACCCTCCCCTCAGCCCCACACTGCTGGCGCCACTGGGTGACACTCGATTTACCGCCATTTTGCACGAGTTTTCTGATCTCACACGCCAGCCGCACGCGGACTCCGCAGTCACGCCTGAAGTCCGCCAGCACATCACCATATAAAAACTACTGCTTATCATCCTATGAGCAATGGCATGGTGGAAGGATTTCACTGCTAACTCAAGACAGCCCTCATGGCGAACGAAGAACACTCCTGGGTAGAGGCCTTCCCCCTCGCGCTTCTGGGTATCAGGACTGATTTGAAAGCGGACATCGGCTGCAGTGCGGCTGAGCTCGTCTATGGCACGACACTTCGTCTACCCGGCAAGTTCTTCGTGTCCAGCCAGCGGGAGCCCCTCATCACCAACGGTGACTACGCGTCTCTCGGCTCCGCAACATCATGGGAAAGCTCCACGCTACACCTCCATATCAGCCGGTGACGCGAGCCGTCAATGTCAGCACGGACCTCGCATCCTGCTTGCACGTCTTTGTGCGACACGCCGCGGTGAGACGGCTGCTGCAGCCTTTGGATGATGGACCGTACAAGGCACTGCACCGTGGGGACAAAATGTTCACAATCGACAGGCGCGGTCGTCAAGAAATTGTGTCAATTGACCGTGTAAAAAAAAACGGCCCACATGGATTCCCCTTTCGCCGCCACCACACCCCCTTCCAGGCTCCCAGGTGCGCCTACAGACATGCCGAACAGATCTCCACCACCCAGCAACAGGCAGCACACGAGCAGTGGACGGCGCTCTAAGGCCCCCATACGCCTCAATCTGTGACATTTGACATGCCTTACGAACTCATTTGCAAACTCTCTAGGGGGGGAGTGTTGTGGTTTTTCCCTCTCACCCACTTCGGGAGAACGTAGCCAAGGAAAGGAGAATGCCAGTCGCCCAAGATGGCAAGTGAAAATAAACCAGTTGAGTTTTGGTATGCACGCTGTCTTGGTCTGTCTCACTCGACCTCGCTATCACCACATCAACAAGGGTCTGTTGTCATGACCACTTTCCAACCTAGCAACGCTGTGTCCGAACAATGTCACTACATCCCAGGCGGTCCTCGGCCACATGCCGCATTACCCTGCCATTCTGCAATGTCGTCATCGGTTCGAAGAAACTACAGCACCAAACTGCTAGAAGAACAATAATGAGATCCAGTTTTGGAGTCAATGCCATCAAGAAGAGCAAGCTTCAGATCCCCTAGAAGTACAAAATCCCAAAGAGCATGTTGTCAACATGTGCAATGCTGCTCACTGTAATGAATGGGCTAGTGCATGCCTAGGATAAAGTCACAGCAGCAACTATTGCACGCCAGTTCCTTCCATCCAGCTTTAGTGTCGTGAGCACGAAGGCAACAGACAACTATAGACAGCAAGAGCTCATTCCTATGTATGTACCACCGGACACAAATCAAACGCAAACAGCGGAGCGAGTTACCTTTGAGACATGCTACACTACCTAGAGGCCCCAAGAAACTGATAAAACTGCAAAGTGGAGAGGGACGCTACAAGGGTGTACGTCTTCCGTAGGCACACACCCTTGCAGCCTCACTCTGCAGTACCAGTTCCTCGAGACCTCTAGGTAGTGCAGCATGTGTGGAAGGCCATACATGCCACCATTTGTGTTTCATTCGCACCCAATAGGAAATCGATAAAGACGGCAGCATGGCAGTGTGTAGTGCCCAGACAGATGAAGACATTGTTGTGCAGGTTGGCAACGAACCTGTCATAGAAGACGAGAATGACAACGACAAGGAAAAGAAGGAAACAACAGTGCAGCCATCAGTGAGGCACTCAATGTCGAGTGCCTCTCCTTCATCTTTAAAGAGGGCAAAGAAGATGCCTTCAGCTACGTCCACACATGGAAACCAATGACCGTCAATCTCCAAGAAGAGAAGTATGCCCTCTTGGCTATTAAAAGTTGGCAGCTCCATGCGTCCCCGGGTTTTTCCAGCACCAAATGTGGCCATTTTACATTGACTTTCATTAGTTCGAACTTCATTCCATTCAAGCTGCCCTTCAATGCAAGTGACAAGTGCAAATGGTGTTGCGATGGTTGCTCAGCGTAATGCACCTTCTCCACCTACATTTAGCATCACCCCAATAAAATAAGCTTTAGGAGCTATGCTTGACTTACTCTTTCAGAAGAGGAAACAGCTGACAACTTCAAATTTCCCATTTTTTCGGTAAGTACCCAGAGGTTTAAACAAAATAAGAGCAGCAAGTTTCCCGTTCCACAGAGAATTAATTTCATGTTTCACCTTTCAAAAAATAAGTCAGCCATACTCACTAGATTTCAGCAGATCGTCTCCTTCTCCCTGTGCAAGCAGAAAAAAAAAGAGTAAAAATTGAGAACAAGACAACTTAAGAAAGGTCAGACCACTGCAACAAGAAAATGCAGACTGCAGGCACCAACCAAGTTAGTTAAGCTGAACCAAACTTGGGTCAAGTCCAACTATACTCCACTTATTTTTAAACTGGGAAAACCCTGGACCATTTGGTGCGGATGACTGAACAGCACCATTTATATCAATGCTGATGCAGTGCTCATGCCCAGTCAGTGAGCCATGGTTAACAGTAGAGTCAAAGCTACCTATTGACAGGGTCTGTCAACTGTCGAATCTCACACATGTAACTACATGAAAAGAGCATTGTGTGACACAAGTTGGATTGGATGGCATAGAAATCTGACAATGAATTGCTGTGGCAAAGAAGACATTTTTTAAGCTTGTTTCTATGGCATAACAAATGCTTGAGCTTGCCTTTGTAGATTATCAAGCATGGGGTGTCTTTGTATAGACTGAATAACATTTTTTTATATGTGTCAACATTATGTGCAGCATTTATATATAACAAAGCATGGTGAATGGAGCCTCTCAGCACTTTTCTGCGGGGTGAACATTCCCGAAACCCCTCTTCTGCCTGGTGCAAGAAAATCAGGTCACTTAGCGTGTGCATGCAGGACGAGTGCAAAATCACGGAAAACGATAGAGCCATTTCGTTGTTGTGCATACAGGGGCAACGACATCGTGAGCTTACGGCCCGGTCACATGGCAAGACGACTGCGTGTCAAGAACGGCATGGCAGGCCGAAGAATGAAACCGCAGCCTGTGTGCGTACACAGGTCTCCAAAGACGAAGGCAGGAGCTTCTGAGGATGTCCAAAGCGCGCGCCCGCACCCCAGCCCCTTATTTCGAGAGGCCAGGCGACATGACGCATAAAAACAGCGATCGCACAAGATTGGCTGGTTATTGAGAGTGATGGCATGACGCAACACCTAGCAACCGAGGTGCAGTGGGGGACGGCGAGGCTAGGGCATACTTGGGCTGCCGGCGGAGCGCCACGATGCGGCATGTACGGGCGGGCCAAGGTAGGTTAACATTTTGTAATGAGCCATCCACAGACTGTCGTCCCAAAGCAGCGTGAACAGGGGTGGGTTAACACGTACGCCAGTGATACACCCACCGTCCCTCACCGCGCAGCGCCGAAATTAGCAAGGAGGGACGTTGCCGGCGATCTTCGGTTGCCAGGTGCTACATCACGTCGTCACTCCCTATGACCAGCCAATCCAGGGCGGCCTCCATTGCTACGCATCCTATCACCTCGCCCCTCAAGATATGCACCCCACACCATCTGTCAGCACTTGCAGAAGGTGTTTCCTAGCCAGTTTCCTCAGCCAGTGGGGCTGTGGCGCCATCCCGTGGCGACGTTGCGAACTTTGGATATTTGTGCTCTAAACCAGTCCAACGTCAACGCCTGTACCAAGGCACTAGTGGTAATGCATTAAAAAGGGCCCTCAAAATTAAGGTATAGCTCCTCAGGAATAATGCTACTTATGCAGTTGACTTGCATTAATTCGACCTTGGTTAATTTGAGATATTGTTTATTTTGACCCTGTCCAAAGGTCCTGGCAAAAGCCCATATATTTCAACAAAATGGTGAGTTGGGCCAGTTGGTTCATAATGGAAAAAGACAAGCGCCGAAAGACCAGGACAAAGTAAGAAGACGACAACACAAGGCGCACTCGCAATTGAAGATTTATTTATGGAAAAACAGTCTTATATACACTTTTAAAAAACACCCACGTCACTTTCCACGTGCCCACTCTTTGGATAAAGAGTGGGCACGTGGAAAGTGACGTGGGTGCTTTTTAAAAGTGTATATAAGACTGTTTTTCCATAAATAAATCTTCAGTTGCGAGTGCGCCTTGTGTTGTCGTCTTCTTACTTTGTCCTGGTCTTTCGGCGCTTGTCTTTTTGCCCATATATTTCTATAGAAAAAAAAAAACTCATTAATTCCATCTTGAAATATAAAATAATCTGTTAAACCTGGAGAGAAATGGCAGTGGGCAAATTACAATCACAATTGGCCATGTGTGACGCACAAAAACGGCCTTTTTTTCCAAATTACACTGTAGGCGAAAAAACTCATTTTCAAATTTTGAACCGTGTGCCGAATTGCGAATAGAGAGAAAACGAGAGCCGATGTTAAGACACGGGACACGGTCGAGTCTCAACACAAATCAACCATAGCAACAGCACTGCGGATGCACCAAGTGCTGCTCCGTAGTGGTGTTGCCACCGCCACATCGAATGCGCGAAAAAAATACACAGCCACTGCCATCCCTGCGAGGCGATGTGCAGCGGCTCATTATAAAAATGTTAGCCCACTTGATCTAAAGCACTGGATATTCAGAATTTCGCACGCATCTTTTAATTCAACTTTTGGATAATTCGAACCAATTTCACATGCACCGCCAAGGTCGAAGTCAAATTTGGGGGTTTTACGTGCCAAACCATTGACGGGCATCTGGCACGCCCCAGCGGAGGACTGAAGATTAATTTCGACCACCTGGGGATCTTTTGACGTGCAACCGAAAGCTCGGTTACCACAGCGCCTTCTACGCAATAAGCCTCCATCAGATTGCAAGCACCTCGGCCGGGATTCGAACCCGCCACATGGGGATCCGTAGACTGGCGCTCTCGCCTCGGTGCCACTGAGGCGGCCCGCCAAGGTCGAATTAACGGAAGTCGACTGTAGCTACAACAGATATCGAGCCACAAATGTGATATACGACAGTTAGCAAACTAATTACCTGACGTTCCCTAATTAACGTTTTAAATATCAGCTTTGCTAGTACATTTCAATCACAGATTTGAAGCCTGTCATCAAGAGAGGCATAGCAGGATTTCACAAACTAAAATTCTGTTTCATACTCTTTACGCAGTATTCACACGGGGGAAGAGATTCGTGGGGGGATATGCGTGTTGTCAGCGGGTGGAATTCTCTCCTCATTTTCGCTGATCACACAGAACAGGAGCCAGGGGGAGGGATGACAGCATTTTCAGTCCAGTTTAGTGGTTTCCACTCTTCACACCACTGCAGAAGAATTTAGCGGTCTCCAAGATTGACACCGAAGCATTTAACGAAGAAACGTTGCTAAAAACAAATTGTTTGCCAACAAACCACGATTGTTTAGACCAAGGGTCGGCAGGGCCCGTGAGACAATATACGGCCGTCGGCACACCACCAGAAATGACCCCCCCCTACTTCCCATACACACACACACTACAATCTCCAGGAAAAAAGTGTATATGGTTGGAAATCTGATGAATAGGACGTATTAACTGTAGAGTGGAACACCTATTGTTAAATACTAATTCAGAGGGTGCCACACGTTACTGAAGTTTGTAGATAAATGAAAGAACAAAGCGAATTCACTTCAGTTTGCTACCGGCTGCCAAGGCAGTCTTGACTGTCGCAAGTTCACACTACACAATGACTGCCAGCGGCAGCGGCGAGCCACTGAAATCGATGGCGTCTGCACCCAGCAGCTTCCTCGTTTGGCCTCCGCAACAGTTCGACTTCAAAAACGCGGGTCAGTGGCTGCAATGGGTACAGTGCTTCGAGGACTACTCACTCGCTTCAGGACTCTATGCGGCAAAAAATGAAGTGCGCACTCAAACTTTACTTTACTGCATAAGGCCTCAAGCCCAAATTGTCCTAATGTCTTTCGTGCTCCTTTCGTGCTCGGGGATGATGAGCTCGGCAATTATGCCAAAGTCAAGCAAAAGCTTGATGGCTATTTCGTTCACCCTGCGAACGAGTTGTACGAAAGTGCACATTTCTTTAGACACACTCAGCAACCCGGTGAGATGGCGGACATACTTTACACAGCCCTTTGCAACATGGCAAAGCGTTGCAGCCACCACCCACCGAAAGTTGAGGATCGTCTGATATGGGACCGATTTGCAGTTGGTTTGCTCGATACTAAGTTATCAGACCGACTCTGGAGGAGCCCAAAATTGACGCTCGAAGAGGCTCTCGTTCAAGTGCGTCAGAATGAAGATTCCGAAACAGAACGAAGACTTTGTGAGTCAACGGCATCGGGGACCATCCCATTGAATATTGATGCAGTCAAGGTGAAAAAGCAACGTCCAATTAGACAAATGCAGGTGGCCGAGTGGCTTGAGTTTCTCTCTCTGCATCTACTGTGGACAGTCTCCTCACCTGTGCACGGAGTGTCCAGCCAACAAAGCAGCGTGAAACCTTTGTTACAAGAAGGGGAGCTTTGCTGCGGTTTGCCGGACAAAAAAGGCAAATTGGCATTGGTGGAACTCGTGGCTGTCAGAGCAAGGGGCGGCCCCAGAACCAAGTTCGTCGAGGTGAAGGTCAACGGACTGGCCCTGAACTTTAAAGGTACAGCCAGACGGAGAAGCGATCATCTGGGCTGTTCAGCGGTTCGATGAATACGTCCGAGGTATGCACTTTGTGGAGACCAACCACCTTCCCTTCACGTCTTTGTTTGGCAGCATGGACGTGGATATACTCCCACTGAGGATTCAATGTCTCCACCTCAAGTTGATGAGGCTTTAGCTTGATGTTCTTCTTGTTCCCGGCAAGCTGTTGGCGATGGCCGACACCCCGTCCAGAGCGCAGTTGGGGCAAGCGTCGCCGGCCGTCTGTGCCGTAGAACTCTTCGTGGAGAGCGTTGTCCAGGAAATACAAGACAAGGCGCAAGTGGGGCTTGACAGGCTTCGAACGGAGCAAGCTTCGGACGGCGAGTGCGTCATTCTCTTGGAATACTGCGAGTGAGGCTGGCCTGTTAAACCCAAGGCTGCCGTGAATTTTCTCAAGTACTGGAAGCCCAGGGGGCGAGTTCACAGTGTGCAATGGGTTGCTCCTCAAGGGGAGTCGCCTAGTCGTCCCAGCGTCACTTCAGGGTGAAGTTCTCGGGTCCATCCACGAGGCTCACCAGCGTATGAACCGTTGCCGCGCTCCAGCAGGTGATTTTGTGTGGTGGCCTGGTGTGAGTAAACAGATCAAGTCCATAGTGGGAGACTGCAGACAGTGCACTTCTACATGAACTCAGCGTGCTGAACCACTCCTGCCGACACCTTCTCCTGAGCTCCCCTGGCAGCATTTGGGAGTTGACTTGTTTTACTTCAATGGTCAGGACCTCTTGTTGATTGTAGATTACTTTTCACGGTACTCGGAAGTGGTTACTCAGAAGAGCACAACATGTTTGGCTATTACCACTGCTGTGAAGAGTGTGGTGGTGCGTTTTGGCATTTCAGAAATTGTGCACAGTGACAACAGTCCCCAGTCTGCAGCAGCAGAGTTTGCGGACTTTGCACAGGACTACGGCTTCAAACACGTAACAAGCAGCCCGCACTACCCGCAGTTAATGGTAAGGTCGAGTGTACGATCCAGACCATCAAGGACCTCCTGCGCAAGGGCGACGACCTATTTTTGGCACAGCTGGTCTTCAGGGATACACCAGGACGCTCCGGGTTTAGCCTGACGCAGCTGTTGATGGGTCAGAGACTACGAACCAGGATGCCGAGGCAGCCAGAAAAGTTGAAGCTCGGGTGGCCATCAAAAGAAATATTCTTAGAAAGGGATGGGCAAGACAAGCGTCGGCAGGCTGTGGACTTGAACTGTCGGCATGCGGCGAAGGCGCTGTGTGGGCTCGCTTTGGGCGACCATCTGTGGGTAAAAGACATTCGATGCAGTGCCAAGGTACTTAGCCAAGCACAACGTTTGCAGTCATACATTGCGGAAACACCACAGGGATTCTGCAGCAGAACTGGATGTACCTGGTTCCAATTAAGCAAAAGGGGACCAGACAGTCGCCCAACTTGGAAGCTTCTCCATAAGAGCAACATAGCCTCGACAGTCCAACGCCCCCCCGAGGAGGTGAATTCAAGACTGTAGACCTCCACAGCCTGGTAAGTCAAAAGGACCCGATGTGACCTCGCGGTCATCCCTCCTTGGTGTTTGAATTTGTGAACGTTAAACATTAACATTTGCTAAAAGGGGAGATGTAGACTGGCACACCTAACATTAAAACTGGTAATCCAGGGGGCACCACATGTTTTTCAAGTTAGTAGATAAACGAAGGGATTGAGCGAGTTCGCTTCAGTTTGCTACTGGCTGCTGGCTTGAGGAGTGGCTTTCTCTAGATTAACTCTGAACAAGTTCAAGCGATTTAATGTTAGGGTGCACAAATCAGCAGATCCTCAAACAGACAATAAGGTGAAGAATGCATATGCAGTGAATGACCAGGTTAAGTTTTCTGCTGGCCTCCCTGAACTAAAGTTTTCGAACCAACGAAACCTTGCAGCACCCCTGATTGAAGTGTTTGCTTCAGCAAACATACTTTTTGAAGATGAAGACTATGAAGTCAAACGTGGGTCTTGCGAATGACAAATAAGTACCTGCAAAACATTTTATGACTCAGAGTTAAGAGTTCTAATATAAATGTTTGCATCTAGGCAGGCAATACTGAACACCTAAAAAGCTTACAGAGGGGGGGCTCGAGCAATCTTATGTGTGCCTGAATCAAGGGATCATCTTAGCATATAAATTTGAGTACCTCTTATTTCAATGGCCTGGCCCCCACCCCCCTTCTACGTCCGGCACGCTCCGTTTCCACTTAGCGGCGATTTGACCAGCTGCAGCAAAAGGTAGCCGACCCTTGGTTTAGACCACCCAGGCATCCTTCCCTCCCTCAGCCACAAAACTGACGTCACAACACCGCATCGCAAAAGCTTGACATGCTTGTCGTGAGGTGCATGTTCCAGGGAGAAATTTCCGGAACTTCTTCCCTGCGTGGACACCACTTTAGTGGAGATTTTGAGCTTCATAAGCACCCCCCCCCCCCTCCCCCCCAACACTAAAAAGAAAAAAAGCTCCGAGATCTCCACATTCAAAGAGATGCCAAGCTGTGACATGCGAGAAATACATATAGAGTCGCCTGCCAGATCGGTTCGCAATCACTCGCCTTTGCAGAGGACACTGACCTGGCTTCGGGGAGGGACTTCCGTCGCTCTTCTGTGTCTCCGGCTCATCACAGCGTAAATTTGCCACTGAAAACATAAAGCAGGATTCAGTTTTCTCAAACAGAATGACTGTCCTTAAGTACTTTGATGACGGGTTTCAAATCTCTACATGGAATGTGCCAGCAAAGGCAACTACTATTTAAAAGGCTAATAGGCATATTCTATAGACCATTTTGACAATTGGCTAGAAATCTCCGATTCAAGTGTGCCACCCAAGACTACTACAGGTGTTTAAAATGCTAATTATTGTATTTTAGGTAATTAGTTTCCTATTTTCCACATGGTTAATATTCATCAGCTCGCCTGCACCTTACCATATTTTCTCTAATCATACCCATGTCCACTGCGGCCCATAATGCCCTCCCGAAGATCATTTATTTCTTCGATGGGCCCTTTAAAAGCCGACGTACAACCTCTGTTTTCTGCAGGGAAGGTAATCCTCTTAGTGCTCGCCTCTCCTAAGCTGCAAGGGGTGCCAATTTGGGCCAACACCCCCTAGAAGTGAAGGCTGTAGCACTCCGAGTCGTGATGTCACAATGGTCGGAGAAGGGATGCCATGGGGAGGCCTACTGGAGAAAAGGTGCCCGATCTGGTTCTCTTTACCCTGGTTGCGTCGTCTGCTCACTTGGGTGACATGGTTTGTTTGTGCGCATTTATCCGGCATTATTATATGTTTTAAACGCGCAATCTTGTATGATTTATTATATATATATCATATAAATGTAATATACAACGCATTACCAAGGTTGAAAATACGAAATTTATATTTATGATTATCCCACAACTGGTGACCACAGTGCAGTCCCTCAGCTCCCCACACTTTTCGAATAAACCGGCCCCCGCAGCTACATTTTCTTCCCTCCTACGGGCTTCAATTCTGAAAAGTTTGTGTTGTGTGTGAGCTGCTGACTGTCTGAGAAGGAACGCCGAGACCTTTCAGAAAAGAAAGGACCCAACAAAAAAATCTAGTCACTGCCACAGGGAGCGCACACAAGCAAGAGATAGGTCAATGATGTTAAACCTTTTGTTCCAAGCTTCAAGCCACTGCTCTTGCATGTGGTTCTTTTGTGTTCTCTTGATACTATGGCATTTACGTGGATTCACGGTCCTGCTACGGTGTGAGCGACATGTGTGGCCCACTAGTCAACGATGACACTGGTTGATCATCGATGGACCCCTTTCCTTCAACAGGGAGAAAGAGTTCTTGGAGTTAGTGTTAGAATTTTTTCGTGGGGGATATTGCGGGACGTATGAATACCATCGACAGGTGAGAAATAACTTATTTATGGGCTTTGTTGGTCATGTAGGACGCAAGTAAAGTGCTGCAGTCTTGCTTTAATCTCGTTCTTTGTTGTTATCTGTGTGCAACTAAGTCGACATTTGTAAACATGCGTGGTAACATTCAAGTTTTGACTGGAAAGTTAATAACAATCTTATATGCTATTATTGAAAGTGCATTGTTTGTGCTTATGTGTTATTTATACTAATGTTATTTTATTGGCTTTACCACATTCATACTACAATCCTAGCTGTATTAAGGGGGGACATGGGCCTAAAGTTTTTATTTTTTTTGAAAAAATTCATTTTTCAATTTTGACGTTTTCAGTTTTAGAAACTAATTATACACCCTTACACCAAATTTGATAACCATACGCCAAATATTTACGATGATATAAAATATTTTCAACAGTTGTGAGGCAGTAACAAAGTAAAGGAGTTCAATGTTTGAATGCATTTTTCTCAGTTCCACTTTTTGCTGCAAATTTCATACGAAGGAATCTTTTGTTCGAAGGTGAAAGTGTTCAGATACCACAATCAAGATGTTTCTGAACTGAAATTTACTGGGGAATCGGGCTATCTACTTTATTTTGTTTTAAGTTAAAGTCCTCAGTGATAAAAAGCCAAGTTTTCAAAAATTGACATAGGACAGATTTGCATCTCATATTTTGAGGTAATCACTCTTCCTGAAATATTTACATTTGAGTTATAAAAACTAGATAGCCCAAAGTGCCACATCCCCCACTTTATATTCCAGCAGTCAAAATGGTGCTTAATAGCTTCATTTGCATATGATAGATTTCTTAACAAAGAGTGACACATTTTCTTATGCAGGTATGTAAAGTTGTCCTGGAGAGCTGAAAGTTTGCACAGTACACCTACATCTGAGGTTAAATCTCCTCTCTAAATTTCATTCCAATCACTTGAGTAGTTAAGAAGTTCGACCTCTAGCCAGTGTCCCCCCTTAAGGTGATAGAATTATTGAATAAAAATATATTATATTTTGTTCTAAGGCTGCTTGCAAGCTCATAGAGAGAAGTGGATTAGTTGATTGCGAATAGTATGAAAGTTTAGTACCTCTGCCAAACGGGAAAGTTAATATCTTTTCATTAAATGACATTATAGGATTGAATCAGCTCGTGATCCTGAGTGACTATACGAGCATTGCATGCTGATTTGCCAACCCCATAATGTCATTCGATGAAAATTACATTAATTTTGCCATGTGGCCGGGGCATAACGCAAGAATTCAGTAACTGCAAGCGTTAACATTGCTTACATGATTGTAAGTGATACTTGTCTAGCCGTGTCTGCATTGACTATGTCTACCTGCTTATAACTGATACGTGTTCCTGTGTCCAATCACTGCGTACCTCACCATTTTGTCGAAGTATTTTTGTACAAAATATGCAATCCTACAGCAAAAACTGGGTGACTCAATGTTTTCGACTTAAAACCATCACATATTTCTGTGGTTGTTTTAAATAATCGGTATGAAATGGCAAGGTATATTCATACCTTGCCATTTCATACCGATTATTTAGCGGTTTAATAATTTTGCCAATGTAATAAAATGCTTTCTAGCCCAGTTCTATGAGCAGCTTTCATTTTAGTTAACAAGACACGCATGTGTCTTATTATAAAGTTTCTTAATAATAATATTAATAATAATGTGAAACTAAAAGTGCGTTGTTACGACGGTCTGTCCACGCGCATTGCCTTCGCTTCGGCGCTTCAACGCGCGCCCCCGATAGCCTTCCTTTGAGACTTCACGAGAAAAGCACTACGGCCTTAGCTTGGTTGGGGCAAGGTACAAAGTGGAGAGGATATAGAAGAGGTCGTGGGGAAAAGTGGAAAGCGCAAAGTGTACGTCGGCCTTTAATATCAAAAGTTACTTTTAGTAGAAACAAAAACTCTGTATAAGCATGAAGCATAATATGCATCAGGAAACAGCTGCAAAAAAACTTTGAACAGCACCAATGTTTCCCTAAAGGCTCAGTTACATCAACATCAGAAGCAAGCCGAATATATTGGTCGAAGATGCACTGTCATTGTGGTCCTCATCTCTCAAGCACCATTCTCTAACTTCTGCTGCAGTCTTTTGCATCAATTTCATGTATCAAACAAAAAATATAAAGAGCAGGAAAATGCACAAAAAAAGAAGTCAGGCTTAAATTTAAAAACTGTCATGTCTCATTAATCTGAATAGCCTCGTCTTGCCCAGACCATCCGGACAATCAATGAATGTGGTTAGCCAAGTCAGAATAAAAGATCATAGAAAACACTTGGACTGAGCGCGTTGGCAATAGATTAAAAAATATGAAAGAGTTAGACAAAGAGGACGGAGAGGACAAATATCTTTTGACTTTCAACACATTGAGGTCTTTTATTGCCAGGCCAACAAGCAACGAGCTGCCGAAGACATGGAGAAAGGGTTAGTGAAAAAGATCAAACCAGCGAGAAAGAGGGGGGCTAGGAAGGGTGAAAGGGAGGGGAAGGTGGAAGGGGGAGGAGAAGAGCGAATAAAAGAGAGAGGAGGCGGGAAAGGAAGTAATGGAGGTTGGAGGACACTTGGCGTGGACAGGTATCTCGTCCCGAAAATTTTCTCCGCAACAACACCCGCCGTCCGGGCCGTCAAGGTCGGCAACTCTGGCCCCAGGGAGGTCATCTCTCTACGAGAGCAGGAGTAACGGCAGCGAAATGTTGCGCGGCGCTCTTCTCATAGCAAAGGCCTCCAATATTTCCCGCCTGTACCGGTTCTTGTGCGCACCCAGGACGCGGGTGGTGGGGAAGGCGGGGGAACACGGGGCGCATGCCCTGAGGTGCACCAGCATTGGGTGTTGCGAGCCCACCTCATCTTTGGTGATCTCCCCCGCTTGTGCTCTTGTAGTCGGTCATTGACGCAGTGCCCTGTCTGCCCAATGTATTCGGCCCTTCAGGAAAGGGGCACCGAATATACCCGACCGATGGCGCAAGGGACAAAGGGTGCAACATGCTTCTTGGAGCACTCTGTCTTCGGGGGCGAGGCGTTGTTGGTGAGGCGGCACATCGTGCCCAGCCTGAACGAACGTGTGAATCCAGCTTCGTTGTCGAAGCATCGGGCTGCTGCTTTTAGGCAATGCGCAGTGACGACCATCCCTCTAGATCCGAGTCAGTAACTCACAGGAGATCCTCCCAGCTATAAAACTTCTCCACTCTTCAGGGAAAAAGACATTGGTGTTCTCTCTCGACATAACAAACATGTATTACAGTCTTGACATCAAAATTCCCCTGGTTTCGTAGAAAAATTGCGGTCACAAAACAAGGCTCTGTCAAATTCTAAGACGCATCCGGCATCTCACTCAATGCATTCCTGCAGCTCCTCGCCGTCTACCTCCGATCCACCTTCACATAACACGATGGAAGAATATATACAAAACATTTGGCATCTGCGTTGGTTCCTGCCTGGCTCCGGCGCTGAGCAAGGTGTACCTCTCATTTGTCGACCAAGCCGTTAGAACACAACTCGACAGCATGGCCCTGGGAACACAAGTATACAGGTATGTCGATGGCTACCTTGTACTTCACGACTCCGGTGTTTCCGCACTACCATCCAGCAGGTCTTTAAGGACAATCATCAGGGCCTAACTTTCACTAGAGAAGACACCTCAGCAGAGGGTCTGCAGTTTCTGGACTTGCACCTGATCTCCTCGGCGGAGGGAATCTGCCGGAGCTTTCAACAACGTTCGCAGAAGCCTGCGCTTCCATTTGCAAGCAACCACTTCAAGACAGTCAAGGCGGGATCGTAAAAAGTCTAATCTCATCCTCCCGCTCAAAGTCCTGCCATCAACTCTCTGCCTCTAGGCTGGGGGCCAGATCAGATGACTGATAAAGGCCGGATATCCCCGCGACCTGTTGTCGGCCGAAATTTTAAAATGCTAATAACCAAAAGGCCCGCTCCCCAGAAACCTGCTCGACCGAAATTCGTAGCCATCCCATACAATCACAATACCGCGCACTGTCTAAAAGCAGCCGCCCGACTGTTCGACACCGAAATTGGGTTCACATGTCCGTTCAGGCTGGGCACAATGTGCCGCCTCACCAACAACGCCCCGCCCCCGAAGACCAAATGCTCCAAGAAGCACGTTGCGCCCTCTGTCCTTTGCGCCACCGGTCTGGAATACTCGGTGCCCCTTTCCTGTGGGGCCGAATGCATCGGGCAGACAGGGCGCTGCTTCAATGACCGACTACGAGAGCACAAGCGGGAGATCACCAAAGATGAGGCGGGCTCGCAGCACCCGATGCTGGTGCACCTCGGGGCATGCGCCCCGTGTTCTCCCGCCTTCCCCACGACCCGCGTCCTGGGGGCGCACAAGAACCGATACAAGCGGGAAATATTGAAGGCCTTTGCTATGAGAAGAGCGCCGCGCAACATTTCGTCGCCGTCACTCCTGCTCTCGTAGAGAGGGATGACCTTCCTGGGGCCAGAGTTGGTGACTTTGATGGCCCGGACAGGTGGGCGTTGACTCTGAGAGAGTTTTCAGGACGAAATACCTGTCCACGCCAAGCATCTCCCCAACCTTCCTTACTTCCTTTCCCACCCCCCTCATTCTTTTATTCACTCTTCCCCTCCCCCCTTCCTAGCCAGCACCAGCCCCCCCCCCCCCCCCCCCCCTCTCTCGCTGATTTAATCTTTCCCACTAACCCTTTCCCCAAGTCTTCGGCAGCTCGTTGCTTGTCAACCTGGCAATAAACGACCTCAATGTGTTGAAAGACAAAAGATGTTTGTACTGTCCGTCCTCTTTATGTAACTCTTTCGTATTTTTGTATCATAGAATAAGTTCCTTGCTAAACAAGACAGTTCAGTCTTAGTTAGCAATAAACTTTCCATTGAATCAATATGCTCATTTGCTTTGCTTCTTTCACTCATGTTCCTTTTGATGCGATTTCCCCTTTTCATAAAATCAGTGTTGCAACTAGTTTCAATTCCGATAATAGCATGCGTATTCACTCACAACGGTGTCGTGCTCGCAGCCGGATTCCGATGAGGACTGCAGCTGGGAGTGCCACCAATATGGCTGCCGTGACCGCGCAGGCGAGGGTCACGAAGGGAGGGCAGCAGGAAGGCTCTTCGCTTGCTTTGGGTAAAGACTCTCTCATCTTTTCTGGCAAAAGCCTCTGCTGAGTCCTCCGTTCTTGCGCTGAAGGGAGCATGAAACCAAAGTGCGACAATTTACCCATCTACCTACCACCCCTCCATATGCTAATATGCCCCACATTTTGCATTCTTGAAAGAAGTAACAGCCAAGAGTTGAATTTTGACACAAGCCAACTTCATGTCTTACAGTTTAATGCAGTGTCTGGGGTCATTTAGCACCTAAATCTTCAGTAAAAGCCAAAGTGATGAGAAAATAATTTAAACAACATCTCAAATGTTGTGTGCAGCGTTATGAAAGGTACAGGAACAAGGGTAGCTCTGCAAAGCGATTAAATTGCACGAGCACCCGACTCAGGAAGGCACTCTATCAAGGTGCAAGCTCAAACCAGCGTCTCCCACATCGCTGCAGACCACCTAAAAGATCAAACCCGGCATGTTAATATTAACCACTGCTACCAATAGGAGGATATGTGCTTGTTGAGGTTGGCCTAAACATCAGCAATATGCTTTTGGCCAATTACATAGTCATACTGGCAATTCCAATGAATAGCCAAACTCGTTTTGTTTCCAGCTCCGCATATGGGAATAATACAAGCTACTGCCTTCAGCACCGTGCCACAGGACAGTCAAGGATTGGCGACAAAATTGGTTCACCTAGGAGTTTTCTTTTGGTATGCTAAAATGGGTACAGTTTGATACTTTTCACCCATGCTCCAGGGAGAAAAAAACAGCAGCCGAATGGCCAAAAAAATATGGTGCCTTAATGTTTGAGTTACTAAGCTCGTTTTTATATCCGGTTTAATATAATAGGTGTGTCTGAGGGTGCGTTTCACAAGTTTATGGAGGTTGACGAAACATACTGAAAGGAAGACCCACTGGTGGATCCTTGCGGAATGCATCGGCATGACACTTGGTAAACGCTAGCGGCATTCGCTGCCCAACACTGCTTTCACTATTCACCGGTTTTGGCAGCCCGTCTCCTCCGTTCACATCAGTCTTCTTTTGCCGCCTACTTGTACTAGTGCTAGTACTTGCTTCACACTCCATTTTGTACCACAAACCAAGGCATACGTGCTCCGCACACCTGCAAGTTCAGACTCGCCCCAGCATCTGCACACGCGTTGGCTTCTGCCCCATGACGTCCCCTCCCTCTTGCGTTTGTGCTTCACTATTCTCTTCCTCTCTGTCTGAAACACTTCCCGTTCCTTGTCCACAGACAGATGCCATCAGCTTTTCCCTGTCATGTGTACCTCACGCATTAATAATGTTTGCCAATTTCAAATGAACAAGCTTGATGGATATTACATTGTATTTTGCAGTTGATAGCCCATAACTATAAATAGACACCAGGCAAAAAAAAAAAAAAGAGCTTGATTTATGATTTTACGGATGAAGTCAATATACACAAATGTGTTTCCGCCGCATCCTTCCGTACAAAGATGTCGTTCCTTTGCCGTACTAGCGTGGCAAAGGCAGTGGTTACGCAAAATGTGATGTGTTAGCGTGGAGAAATTATGCACACATGTGGAAACTGGATGGCACAAAGCTGCCCTGTGTCGTGCAAGGTAAGCGCGTGAGCACTCTGTGGATGCCTTATTCATGGAACGCCACACTCTGCGGTTGAAGTGTAAATGCGACTTTCACAGAGCCTGTTGGAGTGTGACACGCAATAGCAGTGATGTGATTGGCCTAAGCTGTTTTGGAGCACCTTTCGGAGCAGCCAAAACAGTGTTTTGGAGCAGCAAAAGTGGCCTTTGGAGCAGCCAAAACAGTGTTTTGGAGCAGTAAATGTGGCTTTTGGAGCAGCCAAAACAGTGTTTCGGAGCAGCAAAAGTGGCGTTTAAAGCAAATATTCTTAGGAAAAAAAAATATTCCTTTTAAGTGCTGGGCAAATGAAAAGCACTTTGCTCACAACAATAAACAAAGTATGGTCAAGTTAGACCACCTGGGAGTCTTTCAACATGTTAACTGAAACACCAATGACATGACACATTTTGCAATGCTTCACTTAAATAATACATATATATATGTTTACCCACTATAAATAGATAAGAACCAAACTGCACATATTAAAATTTATTTGAAAATGAACTGCTTAGTAGTAAATATCACAGCATCAGGTTGACTAGTTATATAACAAATTGAAGCACTCTCCGGCTGATGAAGCACGTAACTACTGCAGTGCAATGCAAAATTGTACACAAGGGTGCATTACGACTAGCGGGTGCTTTTCTTTTTGTTCTTCGAAACTTTCTGCAAAGCTGCTGCAAGCCTCGCTTTGCCTACAGCAAGTAATGAATGCCCACTTTCAATGTCTCCAAAGAGACATTGAGACATTCCACAAGTGTACAGTGCCGTAAGCGCTTCCGAGCAATTCCAAAAAACCGCTTGCTACCGCTCTACTGGTTCTCGACGTGTCAGATTTTCGTCAAAAGTAAGCAAACGTAAAGAAATGGATTGCAAGCGTCACGGCTGGTGCCTCTGTCGTGCAATCATGCGCATGCATGTGAAGGCAACTTCAGCAGCTCGCAGTAGCACGTGCTTCAAAAGTAAGTGAACGTAAAGAAATGGATTGCAAGCGTTACGGCTGGTGCCTCTGTCGTGCAATCATGTTCGCATGCCCGTGAGGGCAACTTCGGCAGGCTTGCAGTTGCACGTGCTTCGTCACGCTAGCGAAGACGGATGTTCGGTCGAAACTGAAACCATGCCACTCCGGTCCGTCGCCAACTGGTTCTCAAAATTGTATGCAAAATGTAACTGCCCAGCAAACAACAAAAAACGGTCCAGCAGTGCGTGTTTGCCAGGCCGGCAGGCAAGGTACAAGCTAAACAAACAGAAAAAAAAGAACATGAGCACATCAATACAAGACATCGCGAGCCAGGGTCAAAAAGTTCTTGGAGTGCTTTGTGCAATGACTGAACTCAGACAAACAAGCGAGCTGTGCGGCTGCAACGTGCAGACATTGCCTTCTTTGCCTTAGCTCACTTCTCTTCACCAACTTTCTTTCGCGGCAGATTTTTCATGTACCGGGTTTCCTTTTGAAAGAAAGCCCACCGAGAGAAACCTAGGCAATCAATACTTCGACACAGCAGTCTTTGATTTAAAGAGGGAGTTGTGTAGTAGCATATGCTTTAAACAAGAACAGGAATGTTGATGACCTTGCGGCGATTCTTACGTTTGAGTTTAGAAAGCGACACATCTACAGCGACCTAGGGATGGCAACACTCGACGTCATGCGACCACGGTGACTGAGGCAGGGACCAAAGATAGTATTCCCACGGCCGTTGCTTTCAGGAGGGAGTGCTTTAGCTCACTTCCCCCGTGCAAAAACGTGATTTCGTTTCACAGCATGACGGCATAGCTGGTACCTGGCACGCTAGTGTCGGAGTGTCCGCACATGTTTCCATCTATCGTTGCAAAAATTTTAAAAAGACGCAAAGTGAGACTTTTGAGACGACAAAAGCGCGAAACGAGACACGGTGGGAAAAACCATGCAAGACAAGATGGACGATTGATGTAGGGGACTTTATGTCGGGTGGCCGCTTGCGGCACCTAACTTACGCATGCTTATTTACGGTGCTCAGTTTAGTTTTGGTTTCGAAAGGCGACCGAAAATGGTCCTTTGGCGCAGGCTTGGCGTAGATTACCCATATTTTGGCAAAATGTAGTAGGATGTATCAGGCTTAGCCCCTTGGCGCAGTTTGGCGCAATTGACGCAGCAATCATGTCACTGAATAGACGGAGTGTGTGGAAAACAGAACAGTTCGAACGCAGCAGTGCCGAGCAGAGCCCTGGCAACAGCTTGCAGCAAAAGAGAACCAAACATTCAAAACTACCTCAACCCGTTCTGGCACAGAAGTGAACCAAACATTCAAAACTACCTCAACCCGTTCTGGCACAGAAGTCAGCTTTTTCTTCCTACGCCATTCTGTCGCTCTTTCTAGCACTCTCTCTGGGCAAGCCAAAAGCGAGCTTGTTTCACGGAGCAGTATGCTGACGTGTATCTGAACACATGATGTTGTTGCCCCTGTCGGGAGTTGCCATGATTTTCAATAGGAGAGAACATGAACAAAAAAAGTTGAAAATAAGAACAATTTAACCAGGCAGACCTGATAAAGTGTAGTATTAAATTGGAAATCCTCAGTACCTCTATAAGTGTAACTACGGTAAAATCCCCTAGGGATGCCCCCTCCCGAGACACCACCCACCCCGATTCCCGTTGGATGTCAAGCGATGTCCAACGGGAATCGCGCATCAACAGCGTGATCTGCAGTACCAGAACGTCCGAGAAGCGAGCTCATAGCGGGTTCCCGCGTGTTTGTTTGCAATCTGTGCGCGTGAACACGCGAGTTGTTCCCGCGTCCGCGATCTGCGGTATCCGTTCCCATGAGATGCAAGCTCTGTATTGGTTTCCGCGAGTCCTTCGAACTGTAAAACACGAATCTGCTGCGTCGGCCACTTGCGGTATCCTTTTCCGTGACACAGGAGTTTGCAGCGAATTCCGCGTGTTTATTGCATCGAGAAACACGAACTTGCTATGTCCAAAATCTGCGGTATCAGTTCCCACATCACGTGGTTTGTAGCGGGTGCTCTGGTGCTTGTAATTAATTTTTGATCATGTTTTGTTGTGGCGTCCCCAAAGATAGCCCACCCCACGTTTTTCACCATTTACCTCTTCATTTTGGCTGGGGCGTTCTTACAGGATTTACGGTATGCCTTCTGGCATCTTCAAAAAACAGGGTTTGCATGTGATTTGTATGCTCGTTGGTTACGTTAATTATTACAAACTGAGTGTGTGGTAGCATTTAGTATCACCTAAGTAGTGAAGCTGTCCTTTTTCTTTACTTGTTCTCCTTTTGTCTTTTGAAGTTTTCTTTCTGTAGTGCTGACTTGGTAGTATATTTAGTCCACAGTCTTTCTTTCATTTGCACAATTTCAACCAAGTTATTCCTCCCCTGCACCTTCCGAGACAGCAGGGTATGTTGACAGAATGAATAAAAGATTAAGTGAGAGCAAAGCTCATGCCCACCATGCTCGCTGCTTGTCGACTGCACTTCAGGTAGCGTATGAGCACGCAGGGCTGCCAGTTGGCTTCGTCCCCTGGCACTGTCAGCAAAGACGAGCAGTTCAAGTGGTGAATCCGGAGCCAATCCACGCAACCAGAGGGATCGCCTTCCGGCTTGTGCCCGGCTCCAGGTGGCACTGGTTCGGCTAGCATTGGCTCCGGCAGTGGGCGGCCGCAGTAGTTCAAGTGTCAGTCGTGGTTCGTCCTCCGACTGGTCGTTTCCGGCTGCAGAGTCATCCTAATGGTCAGTTCGCTGCTTAAAACAATAGAAAACTGAATAGAAGTAGGTAACAGAGAAGAGACAAGCAAACTGGTCAAATTTCATCATCATTCAAACTTGTGATTGAGGAAACAGAAAAATTTAACAACACACACACACAGATTTTAAACATAGCAGTGTTTCAGATTCAAAACCAAGCACACTCGGCACTGTCAAAGCTATGTACGCGAGCATGTGGCTGCGTCTGGCCTCATCTTCGCACGAGACCATGTGTGAATGAGATGCCAGACAAAGCGACATGCTCGAGCAGCTGTGCAGGGCTGCAGCATTCTAGAAACTATGTCTTCCTTGACAACGTCGCAGATGCCACCAAGAATAGAGGCGCAGATTTCAACGGCTGTAATCCTAAAAAAAGAAAAGCGTAATAACATCACCTTGGCCAGCAAACCTTCACAGAGCAATCACAGTTGTTGTTCCCAATGAAAGAGTTATTCTGTCATTCTTCTTCTCCTTGTTGAACCACTTCCCTCTTGAACAAGCTCTGCGAAGGTCTCACTTCAGTTATTGACTGAATGAGATAACTACTCCCAGGATATAGGCCAAAACTTTTATTTGTTTAATGTGGAATGTGATTTCATCTTAAAAAGAAGCAAGGCTCAACTACAAGCACAAGAATGTTGCCATCAACAGCACTTGCACTGCAAGGGCACATGGGGCAGCGACCCTCAAAAGTGCGAGACTTGATCTTGGAACTTTGGCCTCACTTGTACTTCAACGTAAATGGAACATAGTGTCCAGGTAAGTGCAGTTGCCCTCTACTCAATGGGATACTGAAATAAAAACTGAAATATACCTCTCCCATATTTTCAAATAAGTTAGTCATGATCAACAATTATGCCAATGAAAATCGCATGCTTGTATATGGAATGGATGCCTATATCTTTCGTTCTAAACGGCTGATTCAGACAAGCACTCAAAGAGCAGCCATCGAAGAGCGCAATGCGTCTCGGGAAATCCGGCACCCTTGGCGCATTCATGATGGCACTTTTCCTTTCACACGGGCTGGTGTGGTTACGAGCTCCGCCACTTGGTTGTAACGTGTCGATGCCACCAAGTAGCTGAGTCCCCCCCCCCCCCTTCTTCTCCTCCTCCTCCTCCACTTGGTTGTAACGTGTCGATGCCACCAAGTAGCTGAGTCCCCCCCCCCCCCCCCTTCTTCTCCTCCTCCTCCTCCACTTGGTTGTAACGTGTCGATGCCACCAAGTAGCTGAGCCCCCCCCCCCCCCCCCCTCCTCCTCCTCCTCCTCCTCCTCCTCCTCCTCCTCCTCCTCCTCCTCCTCCTCCTCCTCCTCCTCCTCCCGGTTTTTTTTTATGGTTTTGTGGGACCTCCTCCTCCTCCCGGTTGTTTTGTGGGACCGCGCGCGCCTTTCGGTTGATGCGTCCCCCTTAGAAAGCATCTTCCTCAGTCTCCCTCATCGGGATGACCACTCAGGAAGAGATGTTTTTTTTAGTCTGGAAGCTGGCGCATTTTACGGGGCTTCTTGGTTTTAACTGGGGAGGTTCCGGGGAGGCCCCACTGTGTCTGCAACGGGATGCATCGCCAAAGTTAGGGAGCTGTCGGCTGTAGTCTGTTGGCAAGTTAACGAATGGGGGTCGACGCCCTTGCCAACTATTAGACGGTGGACGTCACGTGGCTCCAGCAAAGCTTTGAAATGATTTGTTGATCCTCACCTGAAAGTGAGGGGTCAGCGCCCTCAAAAGCCCGTGGCTGGGAAGAGAGAGGGTCTTTTTGACAGAGACTTGTGCAAAGACTCTAGAAGAGGGAGCATGGTCTCCCAAGTTGGGACTTGTAACTTGGAGTTGAACAAGTGTAAATAAATGTACTTAGTTCTCTACAAGCTGTGAGTCGACCCGTCACTCAGCAACGTTCATGTCACCACACTCCAGATCATCGGAGCGAAACCTGCCTCCCACATCATCGGGAGAACCAACTTAACTCCCGGAGACTGGTTGGGTGGCCCAAGTAGACACCGAGCAGAGGCAAAGTCAGTCAGTCACCTGCACCCCAAAACTACACTGGCCTTCTCTTCCACTCAATCTCACCCCCTCTCCCCATCTTCCTTTCTATTCCCCAGCTGCAGGGGTTGTATAGGTGCATAAGAGAAGGGAAATTCAGTGTGGTCATGTTTAACAGGTTAAAAGTGCTCGGAGCAACGCTGCTTTTAGGGGACGATTGACACAATGACATTCCAAGTACTAGTAGCGTTGGGAACATTCATCATGAGCACTTTGGTAATCGTTTTGTTCATTTGAAACAAACTTTTGGTGCATTTTCAAACAAATAATTGGTGCCTTCGTGATGCTGTCACAACATAGTTGACATTTAGACACTAAAATAGGCACTAGAGAATTGTTCCAGTACCCCCTTAAATGTCAGTCAAGTCCCAAGGGTCATACCAGAAGCATCTCGGTCAGCAGTCACAGGAAGAGCTCCGCGCTGGCAGACCACTTGTACTGCAGAAGATGTGGCATTCCATACACTGCAGTTGTACCATGTCTGAGACAGCCAGGCGTTACCTGCGCAAAGAAAAAATTAATACCACCAAATCAAACATATTGATAGTATACAATGACAGCAGACAATCCAGCACTCAGAGATCTCCGTGAAAGGATCCTCTCCAGCAAGTGGCATCGTAAATAGAAAAATGACTTGAGGCAGGTTTAACTAATGTAACCCAGGAGCTACACTCACGCTATCCTAACCCCTTTCGATCACAGTCTAAGACAGCAATGGCGATCAGTTACCTAATGACAGTCAGTCACCTGTTCACATCATGGGACACTTATTTAGACTCCAGCAGCTTGACAGTACCACTGTTTTTTGTCATAGAGCATCTACACTATTTTTAATGACAGACACGGTTCTGAAGATAACTCTATTACCAGTTTGAGTTGAGCTAGTTGGTACATGTCTATCAGGAAACACCTCTGTGTATGTCCTGTCCTGTCTGTGTGTAAGTGCTCAATGTTCAAGCTGTTTCCTCATAGACATTAATTCTTTATGTTTTAGATCCAATGTGAGGAACCTTTGACACAGCAGTGTGGCTCTGTTGCAAACTATTTTAACAGGTAGAAGAAATGCCTCCTGCACCATCTTTCTAGAAGCATCGGCAAAAGTCAGTTACTACTGGCAACGATGGTCACGTGCGACACTATGGCCTCCGTGAAGTCAGTTAAAAAACCACTGAAAAGAAAAAAAAAAGTTTTTTTGAACAGTATGGTTCGGACATGAATGTCAAAAAATACACGTAACCTTATAGTTTTACGTCTAGCTTTTAACAAAGTACCGTGCACAAAGAATTGATTATTGATCTTTAATAACAGTACCGACGAGATAAGTTATGTTTTGTTTGTTTTAAGTCCAAAATGTGCCTTTACAACAAAAACTCCGGCAGCTTCGTAATGCCTCCGCTAGATGCCGTCAGCCACAGTGCTGTATTTTGGGTTTTTATCGGAGCTAGACACTGATCTCTGGGGCTAACAGCGTTGAAAAAATAGTTTATCATTTTTTTACAGCAATCGCAATACAAATCTCGGCTCAGTTTTGCGTAAAAGCCGCAGAGTTTGGTACAGTCACATGCCTAGTGGTCAAAATTGTACAACATGGCGGCATCCAAGAGGAGGTCACTTTTGCCTAGTAAACGAAATACCAGTTTATTGCTCCAAGCCCCTCTCCCTCATTGGGTAGGAACTAGATCTAAAGATGTTGGGGCCTCTGCCAGCCAACCATTCCACTCCCCACCCCAGATGCTCTGTAGATAGCACACTCAAATATGGCACACAGTGAACACCTTATATATAGACAATTGCAAACAAGGCATCTGGCCGCCACCAGGTTGCCGATCGTGTGATCAAGCACAAGCAACTTCAAGCCTAACAAAGCTATGTTAACGCGCATGCTGCAAATGCTTACACGTATGGGGCACCAGTCGGGATGCCATGTTTGCAAACGTCTATATAGCTTGCAGGTGTCGCCATTGCTCGGTAATGATGGTTATTTCTACTTACCGGTTCCCTCGAGCTACTACTTCTGCGGAGTGAAACTAACACGGTGAACCGAATGGCCGTGGCACATAAAATACCAGCATAGCCTCGAATGATGTTACGGGCAAGCTATGTATATAGGCCAAAGGGCAAACAGTCCTAGGACATTACTAGGCGAGAGTGCCACACATTGATGCCCACCCAAGCTGCAACGCTCGCAACCACAGTACTCTCGGCCGTGCACAAACAATCGACGTCACAAGCGCAATACGCATTGTACAGTGCTTCTCGCTGGTCGATTTTGAAGCGAGAGGTAGAGAGCTTGTGCTCACATCATTTTGTTTCCATACCCCTTTAAAATACAATGCTTAAAGGGGAGCTCCGGCAAAATATTGATGGTCACTGATTTTTATAAAATTTTCACCATGTACATGTACCATCCACCTGTGAGTATGTCTACAAAATATCCAATCAAAATATTAATTTTATTTCGAGAAAGTTAATTTTGAAGTTTACGCGTACACCTCTGAATCCCTTGCTGCAGCTCTACTGGCAACAACAAGCAGGGGCACCCGTGACATCAAATGTTGAATCCAAGAGCAGATGACGATCCCAACTCCACAGCATTGTGCGTTTTAGTGATAATGAACATTTGTGGTTTTGCGCATTGCATACGTTTCAGGCTGTTTGTAGCATGCAAAGGAGGGAGGAATTGGTGATGGGCTGTGGGGTGCAATAGCACAACAAAGAAATGCAGCAGTGTGATCTTATTGGTTTCCGTCCGAGAAGTCTCTGCGACGGAGGTGGGTCTGAGCAGTTCGACGAGAACGTTTGCTCCTAGTGTTTGCGTCGTGATACAAAACAGTTCACACCTTCCTAGCAAATAAAACCTTCCATCGAACAAAACCTTCCATCTGGGTATCCGTGTCGGCGGATCACAAACGCAGACCCCACGAGAGGTCTTCTCGGAGGCAATGTCGGCGGATCGAATGCGAACAGTGAATTGTCTAAAGTCGCAAGCTGAAAATCTATCAAATTTTTCTGGTAACTGCTCAACGAAGACGAGCTTGATGAATCATAGTCCATTATTTCCCATAAAAATCGCAACGACCTTCTGACTGCTTCCGATGCTGGGTGAAACAGGCACAAGCTGCCCATGTGCTGATGTTTATACAACATCTGACATCACAACAAGATGGCAGACCAATAAAGTAGCAGGTTAGTTCCGGTTTTGGTTATGTCATATATGATTAAAAATAAAAACTTTTGGGGGAAATTGATCTGCTGCTAAAGGCTCAGTTTCTTGTGCTTTCTCAGAAAATATATTTTGTTGAAAATGTTTAAATTTACACCGGACCTACTGGTGTAAATTACTGGCACGAGCGTGCGGCTTTAGCGCCTCCCTTGCACGAGAGCATGCACAGAAAAAAATGCCAGATTACACACTCATGCCAGCAATTTTGACATCATCACACAAAAAGTATTAAACAGAGCTTAGAAAGTGAGCCCAAAGAATGCACGAAATTTGGCCCCACTGTGTGGTGAAACACATGCCCTCACAGAGGAAGGTCAAAATTTTTCAAAGGGAGAAGTAGCATGTGCTCTGGTAAGTGAGACTAGCAGTGTATGTAAATGTGCACAATGGAAACACCATGGTGCTGCCTCCTTCCTCTAATGTTATATAAGCAAAATAAAAAGCCACACCACAACACGCTTTCATGAATATGGATGACACTGCATCATTATAGAAAGAGCAAACCAATTTTGAGAGGTTAGATATTTGGACCATTCCAAACTCCTGAGCCATAAATGTTGCTAAACCCAAAGCCATTATTTTCCGAGCAAAAAAATGTGTGCTGCGCTAACAGTTGGGTTCTCTCTCTTGGTTCGTCCAATGTTGACACGGTGAAAAATGTGAAGGTACTGGCGTAACCTTTAATGAACATACCGTAATATTCTGAAATGACCCACCCCTATTTTTGGCTTGATTTGCTATATCTTTTTTAAGCACTGAAAAACGGTGCACTTCTAGTAATCGAAGTGATTGGATCAATGATGATCTCAGCATAAATGCGGCTAGTTAGCTATGGCGTGTTATAAACGAACATGGCTAAGTGGAAAGTAGTCACACATCTTTACTACATTGCTCCTTGTTGTGATAACAAGTTGGCCTGGGACACATGACCTAAAAATAGCATTTCTTAAACTTTTCTTCATTGCAAACCGAAAGTTGGCCCACCCCATATTTTCACCCGATTTGATCTTGGTTTTAGGTGGGTTACCTCTCGGGGTATTACAGTATGCTGTGGGATAACAGCGTGCAAAACCTGGTGATAAGGCTGTGAAAGCTGTAAGCATCTTGCATAAACACTGTCACATATTTCCAGCCTCGGTAAAGTAACTTACATGCAATACTCTGCTCTGTTCTATTTATAATTATTGTTTCTGGGTGTGCGGGACGACAACAGAAACGGATACTCACAGGCGTTATGCACTGCAAAAAAGGGTAATATGAATTGTGTGTAAAGTTCTGCATGACCATTTTATGAAATTGCTGTTTAAGGAACTTGATATATTGAGAACAACAAATTATTCCAACTATAAGCTCCCTATTGTATATAAAAGGACAATGCAAGGTTCCGAGAGCATATATGGTATGATCTACTGATTGGAGTCCCATACGTCCCCCGTCATTCCAGGACTTGGTCAGTACCGCGCTCCAGGACCAATTACGGTGACCTGAAACTGGCCTTCATACTCCCATAGGTTTGAAATTATCTACAGGCAAAAGGTATTAGTGCAGCAAATGCAAGTAAAAATGAAATTCATAATTTGTTTGAGTAACACTTCCATTGCTCTTGTTTGTATTTCTGTGTTGGGGTACGATGGGGTTCCTTGTACCACTTCTGCATACCGTAAAATACCGGGCAAGCGCCCACTAAAAATTTAGAGATAATCGCAAAAAAGGGGGGATGGGCGCTTGTCTGGTCATCAATTTTACATATTAATGTACTGCGCATACATTCTCAGATCTTACAAATTCGGGTATGGGCGCTTAGTGTGGTATGGGCGGATGCACGGTATTCTACGGTATGTGCTAATTGGTCAACATTGAAGTCCTATGCTTGTTCTTTTGGTAGAAGACTTTTGAACTGTCACTGTAGCATGCCTAGTTTAAATTATCTGTGTATTGCTACATGTATATTTTTGAAAATTGGTTACCATATTTTACCCTTCTGCAAATGTTAAGGGACATCGTCAAGCTGCTAAATGTTGCTTTTTTCCTGCCTTCCCCCTCTTGAGCATAAATAAATAAATTTATTGATTGATTTATTGTAAATGTATTCTGCACCAGACACTATTCAAATGCTGGTGAGGAACAGCAGTGAATATCGAGTAAATGAGCTTCACCCACCGGGAGGCCTGAGCAAGTGAAAGACACATGGCCTGGTTGCTACGCCGACCGAGTTACTGGCAGAGCACTCAAGCATGCCGTAGTCAGCCTCGGACCGAGGTCGGAACTTGAGCGTTGATCGCAAGCCCGCAGACTGGAAGTTTCCAAGGTCCCGTCGGCCCAGTGACCCGTTCAGAGTCCATGAAAAGGCCACCTGCAGTGAAGGATCTTTTGTGGCTACAGACCAATTAAGAGAGAGGAGTAGAGGGAAACGGGCCAACAAAACAGCCCTAAATATGAGAGGGATGCGTCGCTAAAATGAAAAGAGTGAAAAGTCAGAGTTACAGGCGCCCGTGTGCTCGCACTCCTACAGCTTTGACCAAGCTATACACGCGCACTCCACGGAAGCTTCACAGTGCAAGTGTTTTCGCAAAAGACTGGATCTTTTTCCAGTAAGCTTCTGCACATGCGTACACTCCCTCCCCTGGCTTTGCTTCCCGCTGTCGCCATTTCCGCAGGGCAAAGTTCTGGTTAACCAACATATATAGCAACTATCTTTGAATATATTTTGTCTTTTTTGGTGATCCTTGTTTGAGTATAGGCTAGTATGGGGCAGGAAAGGCAACCAAGATCGACAGAATGGCACGATGACAATGATCGATTGTTTCAAAAGCTTTTGAAACAATCGATCATGAAAAACTTTTATTAAAGCTAAGAAATATGGGTTTTAGGGGGCCTTTCTATACATTTTTGCAGGATTACATTACAGATAGATATCAACTGGTTAAAATAAGAGACGGTAGAAGTAATGTAATCCGAATTAAATCGGGAGTACCACAGGGATCAACAATAGGACCTTTACTGTTTAATATTTACGTAAATCAAATTGGAGCACTCTCTCTTGCATCTCGAGTGTATCAATATGCAGATGATACAGCCCTGGTACCAGAACATAGCGATGAAATAAGCGCACTTTCAAGTTTTCAGAAAGATATTGAATTATTAATGACATGGTTTTCTCACAATCATATTTTTGTTAATTCTAGTAAAACTAAGTTGATGTGCTTTCATAGTCCATACAAACATGTTAACTTGTCAACTCAACTCTTTCTTCATTCAGATAGTTGCAAAACCTGTAGCTGCGTACCTTTAGATTATGCTCTAACAACCAAATATTTAAGGATTCATCTGGATGTAAATCTTTTATGGATATATATCATATATCATCATCAAAAATATATCATCAAAAAAAATGAGAACCGTATTAGCCTATTTGTACAGGTTGCGTAGTGTTTCGAACGTTTCTCTGAGAAGGAGGGTATATAATGCACTGGGTGAGTCTATCCTACGTTATGGAATCTCGTTATACGGAAAGTGTTCCAACTATAAAAAATCAACAATCGATAATATCCTCTATAAAATTGCTTGTAATATCACATATGGGACAATGTACGAAGAAGTAGAGAAAAATAAGAAATTGAATGCAGCGGGAGTGTTAACTACTGAGAGGTTGCACTGTTATGTAATTTTGGTGAAACATTACTTCAAGAGTGATTTTAAAATTCCTTTAACAAAAGAACGAATTTTGAGGCGAACAGAAAAGTTCATTCTTCCTAGGATTTATACTAAATATGGAAAGAATGCAAGGTCATACTATGTTCCTTTTTATTTTAATAAGTTACCAGAAGAGCTTCATAACCTGGATTCCCTAAAAAGACTAAAACAAGACCTGAGAGAATGGTGCTGCCAGACGATAGGTGACTGAAATAGACCATGTTTTTCCCTTGTTCTCTTGTCGGGTATAATTCTCTTCATTTGGGTTTGTTTAGTTGCATGCAAAAAATGCATGCTTTGTTACAACTATGTCAGCAACCTGCTGGACGCCAGGTCCCGCCGACAAGCATACCCATGCTTTTGCGGGCCGGTCTATGCACTGTGTTGAAAACGGGACAATAAAATATTTATTATTATTATTATTATACTGACAGGCAGAGGCAAGTTGGGCTGCCCTTCATTTGCATTTCGAAAACAACTCCACAGACGGCGCTCGTTACTGGAAAAAGGTCCATTCCATGAATGCGCTCATCACTTAGGCAAAAAATAAAATCCGTACGGCACACACGAAAGTGAAGGCATTAAGAGGGTCTTCCCTTCATTAAGCGGTACGCATACATATTTTTAGTAGAGTAATGCCATATGCACTATGTAGTGAGTTGCTATTCGCACAACAGGAAACTTGTTGGGTCTCGTATAAAACGATTTGTGAAAACTTGTTTTTTGTAGCTGTAGCGTGGCTTAGTGGAAAGGTGCCTGCTTTATATGCAGCGGACCTGGGTTCAATCCACAGAGTGGGCTTACTTTTCTTTTTTTTTTCTAACATTTTTTTTTACCATTTGGCGATATCCACGAAATTTCTTTTTTACAATTATCACTGAAAAAAAAACATAAATGTTGTCAACGAGACTTTGCTAAACTAAAAGGTGTGGGACTCCCTTTTCAGATGTGCCATAGGGAACAGCGGGTTGCCGGCTGGACCCTGTGAAGCAACGTGTATGTGGGGCCAAGTGGGTTAATAGGTTTGTAATTAGCAGCCGCAGACTGTCGCCGCGAGGCGGCGTGAGCGAAGGCTGGGGAAGGGGGCAAGGGGGGGGATGGCTGAACATGCTCCCCAGTGATACACGCGCCGTCCGAAAAGGGTAACCCAAATGGCATGAGCTCTCCGTGCCGTCGTGCATATAGCAACTTCCGGTGGAGCTGCACTACGTAGTGCATATAGCAAGGGTGGCCAAGCTGCGGCTCGTAAGCCGCATGCGGCTCTTCGTGTGTTAAAGCGTGGCTTGCAGCTCCCTCCCCTAACCTGCCTCCCTCCCAGTCACACGAGCACTTCCCCAAAAAGAGAAATAGAACGCAATTTAAATCTAAAGACAGGTTGCAGTTTGGTAGTGTTGTGCTACTGCTACCTTACATACAGTTGGACTGCTTTTGACTCGGATAGATTGAAAGTAGTTCAAGTTTCGTTTATTGCTCTGGAAAAAAATCTGCCCGCCCCCCTTAGAGCTCTTGGAAGTTTCGTGGTTTTGTTTGCTGCTCTTAGGCGGGTCAGCCTGGCGACCCCTGGCATACAGCATCATACTTTTAAGTAGGGGTGCGCGAATATGGGTCTGTATCATGAGGGAATGACGTTTTAGCGAACAGCAGTCATTTGAGTGAATCTACAGTATGTTTTAGTGGATGCTAACCGCCCTGGGGGGCTATGTTCGACAAATGTTTCGTTTCTCCTAAAAGAAAACGTAATTAACGATATCGCGTCTGATTGGTTAGAGGCTCAAATGACGAAAGTTCCCTCTTTCGCCATTTGAACCTCTAGCCAATCAGACGCGATATCGTCACTTCTGTCACTACCGTTTCTTTTTAGAAGAAACGAAACATTTGTCGAACATAGACCAACTGGTCCGCCCGTAAACGCTCCTTCGCGGCGGTCGACCATCCGCTAAAGTGCCCTTCGATGAAAACTTCGCGTTCGCTAAAACGTCGTTCGATCAACTGAGTGCCACCCCCTTTGCACTGTTAAGGCTATGAATGATACAGCGCTGTTCGATTCAAACAATTATTGGCGTACGCATAATGTCTTTTGGCAAACATGACCTAGCCCACCTCCAAACATTACTGCGTGACCTCTTACCTGTGGCGGTTCGGCCAGCATGTTGCATGGCAGATCTACTTCTTGATCCAGTGCTGCCAGGAACAGAGCGTTGTCTTCCCGTTCACACACGGGTGCGTCTGCATGGAGATGTAACGAAATCAGACTCGCCCACAAATGACTTCCGTCATCTCACCGCTTCCACCAAAATCAAAACCTGATCAAAACTCCGACACAAAAAAATCTTGGGCCCCTGGATCGGATTGGATTGGACTCTTTCCTCTTTCGGACTGCCAGTCCCCCAACAATATTTCCGTACAAAACGCCGAAAACATATCAAATATATAAATATAGGATGGTATAAAAATGAAACTGAAACCCAGGTTCGGTTTCATGCGAAAAGAATCTCCCATATATATCTAGTTGGTATTCCACAAGGTATTCCAAAATAAATAAACATCACTGATAAACATAAACAAGTAATGGCGCAACTTCCTGTGGCTGAAATAACTTCCGGTTGACCAGATTTTTTTTTTTTTTTTATGTTTATTTGAGCAGCGGGTGTTTTAAGTTTTTCTCGGCAGAAAATCGAAAAAGTTATGTCGAAAACCGGACGTAAGATAGATCGGTGTATGTTTCTGGACCTTACGGCGCCTAGAAAAGGCACCGCATCTCGTTCTCTTTGGCTTCCGTGGCCAGTGGCGTAGCCAGGATTTTATTTCGAGAAGGATTCTCCCCTCCCCCCCTCTCTCAATGACGAAGCAGGGTGAAGTTGGGTGAACTCGGCCAACACCACCTAGAGGAGAAGGCCAGCACACGCCTCCGGTGACGTCACGGCAGCAGGCTGACGAGCGCCGCGCTATAGAGCTGAGCTGAAGGCTTCGCGCGTAGCTTTTACGTTGTAGAAACGCGGGTTTTCGCACAATTTATTTTTTATGAGCTAACGTGAGAGCTGTGAACGCCGAGTGATATAAAGAACCAATTTTAGAACGCAGGAAAATTCTTATAACCTACAATTATTGTAGTGAAATACAAGAAAGTGATATCTTGAGACAGATGTGTTATTTTTTTTAAGCGATAAACTTGGTGGTGTAATTATCTCTGAACGACATGGGACTTGTGTAATAAAAAAGAATCCCTATGAGATGACAATAATCGAAGTTGTAGGACCAGATAAAACGAACTGAAGTAACAATTGGATAAATGATGCAGAGGCATTCATTTCATTTAATTTCATTCACCTCAAAGGCATCCAAAGACGCATTACATCAGGGGGAATTAAAAAAAATAAAAGACAAAATAGTAATTGAACATATAAGAGACACCAACAAAAAGAAAATGTCACACACACACAAAACCGCTTATTAGCATGTTATTGTTATGATGCAGTTTTACAAATCAAAGTTCAGTTACACAAATTGATGCACTTTTTCAATGAAATGGGATATCTCTCAGTTACAATATGGTCAGGTAGTTTGCTCTAGTCAGTGTTGCAAAGTACTAAGGAAGAAAAAAGGAAAGTGTAATTATGGCACTGAAATGGTTCAATCTTGAAGGAATTATCTAATATGGATGATATGAAATTGGCAGCCCAGCACTAAGTAGATTGAAAATTGGAATCTGAGTAATATACATCTTGGAAAAAAAAAAACACACAATCAGACCATTTTTCGTCTTCTTTCTAGATTAGGAAGATTTATGCTAGCTTTTAAAGCGGAGACACTAGTTTCGAATGAATAATCACTACATATAAATCTGTCTTCTGAAGATTCGAGCCTCTAGATTATAGGTAACTTAGGTGTGGATTCCAAATTATGCTCGCATATCCTAATGGTGGGAGGATAAATGTTTTGTATGCGAGTAGTTTTGCTTTAATAAGAGCTAGATCCCTACTAAAAATCTCATTTGTATGAGAAACTTCTGTGTCCAATAAACACGTTTGAATCGTACAAGATATATAAGAACATATAAGAGCCCTATAAGAAGTAGATTAGAATAATATAAGAAATTTGTAAGAAGTTTCTTATATATGTTATATAGTTCTTATATGGTTATCATATATCTTGCATGATTCATGCGTTTATTGAACACAAGAATTTTCTCGTACAAATGGCTTTTTCACAAATTAAGTGTTTTTAGTGCGCTATTTGTTATTTGCTCAATCCATGATAATGAGTCTGTGAAATACGCGCCCAAATACTTGTACGACAGCGAGTCTTCTAGTGGTTTGGAAAGTAACGAGTACTGGGTTAGTGTTTTAGTGGAGGACTTAATTATGGACAATTCTTTGCATTTATATGTGTTAATGTTCATTTGCCATAGGGAACACCATGATGATATTGTATCTAAATCGTATTGTGATTAATATAGGCGTATTAATTTTCCGGTAAATAACTCATGCATTAGCAAACAGTCTAATTGTCGATTTAATTGATAATGGTAGGTCATTGATATATATTAGAAACAATAGAGGCCCGAGTACACTACCCTTAGGTACATCTGATGCAACAGCAACGGGACCCAAATTGCCAGACAAGTATAAAAGTAAGAACATTCTAAAATTGTGATGTGCTGGTTTGAAAAATGTATTGCACATATTTTGAAAAATGTATTCCACATATTTTGGCAAGCTTTTCTTAGACCTGTGATCAACCTGCATAGGTTCAGCAATTCAAAGCACTCTGCCTGTTCAAATATAGTACTTGTTTTGCAGCAAGCAACCTATCTGGTTACTACATCAAAAAACACCTGTGACCTATTTCTTGGCAATGTCATAATGTGAAAACTTTATATTTGCAAAAAAAAAGTGCCGCAATACCCGAGCGTTGCCCCATATGCAGATGTACTTCGACAGTACCGAGTCTGTGAAACGACACATTTAGGGCAGCTAAAAACAAGTTTTGTACACAAACAGAAGTGGGCATGGGAGCTTCATATTCAAAGTTGCTTGCATTTACAATGCAGAAGAGTCATAAAGAAGAAATGGGTCACCTTTGAACACTGCGAAACGAGCCTCCTGGTATCCATAAGTTCTGAAAATATCCGTCTTCAAAAACATTTATACACATGCATCTTAGATGCTGTAGATTATGTGACACCGAGACACACAATATCTGTGCAGCATGTTGGCATTTACGTTTTAGCACCACAAGATACCCAACAGACTGCTACAAGGACACCGATTATCTGCACACACACACACACACGCAGATCGACCAACTTCAGAAAGCAGTTGCCTTTGCATGAGGATGAAGCGCAAGCATGTTGCTGGCCGGACACAAACTAATTTGTTTAGCCTTGACCTCTTAGTGTATCTTGCAACAAAGGTTTCTCAGTTGAAAGTTTTCACTGCAGTCCAACACATGCTTCAGCTCGAACTCACGATGGGTTCATCATCACAGGCGTCAGACATACTCTTCCTTGGTCCGAGTTCGCTTCTTGACATCCGTGACGGTTGGCAGCGAGTGTCTTTGATCGAGTTTCAGCTTTTCATTTCTTCTGTTTGGCATTCTTGGCGTTAATGCAAACATTCATTTCGCTACAGCATTTACACCAGCTCTGTCTTCCTGTGCAAGCAAACTGTAGCCAACTTGTTTCGTGCTGTCGATGTGGCCTTGCATTTTTCGCCCCTTAGGTTTTTCAAGGTGGTGTAGACTGCACAGCTGGCCACACAGCCCAAGGCCGGGAGGCTGTGCCTTATATTTTTTTACAGCCCAGGGCCACATTGCAGGTATACCACGTTGCAGGTAGGGCGTCAAGTATCCGCTCGCTTGGGAAGATCTTTCTAGTTTCCATTGCTAGCTGTAGTGACTGTTGACATTGTGCTCCACAGCAGTATTCTGTTTTCATCTTCGCAAATGTGCCTTGTAGACACGTGATATTAGAAGCAAGCCAGTTGCCTATACATTCCGAAGTACTCTTCTAAGGTGTCAGTTTTCAGCTTGTCCCATGGAGGCCGTACAGTAGCCAGAGTTCGTCAAAGCAGTATCTGGGATGTGTGACCGCTTCTGCAGGAAATAGAACGAAAAAGGAGGAAATCGTATTAATCTAAAGAAAGGTAATGCAATTAAAAATGGTTATAAAAAGAAAAAACAAGAAAGAATGCTCTTCTTTAAGCTGAAGTGGTTCCGTATTTGACAGAAAACACTGGCAGTGTTTCGATCTGGTATTTTGGATCACAAACATCAAAATTATTCTTGAATTTGATGTGCCGAATGCGCTATAATAGTAATAATAATAACAATGCTTATTGCACGAGCACATAGAACCAGGTAGAGAAAATAATAATTAATAGAGCTTCCTGGTGTGTGGTGAGATTCTTTGGGGAGCCTGAAGCGGCTCCAGCTAAATCGTTAGTATATGGCTCTGGTGTATGGATAAGTAAACTGATCAATGAACCATATTCCGGCTTGCGTGCACTGCAAACTACAGCACAGAGACCCGCTGAAATATAGGTCTTACTAGTTAGCTGTAGCGGATCATTTCTGCGCTCCGATGAGGTTACGCAGAAACGACACAATGTACTTCTGTTGTTGTTGTTTCTTAATTGATGTGCTGGTTGCAACCGCGATAACCTATCACTTGCGAAAACATTCCAACCTGAACTCATAAATCAAGTCATTTTTATTTAATTCTGCACCTGCAAGTAGCGCCAGCATTTGAATATGTTGCTTCCAGGCCACAACCAAATCACTCCCAAGAATGCATTCAGCGAAAAGTAAAAACAAAAAAACGAAACCACGATCATAAAAATTAAAAAGTTCTCACCCTGCCATGCCGTCAAGGAGCGAGATCTTCCCGTCGCTTCACTCTATAGTCCACGCTTTCGTAGTCATCCTTGCAGAAACTCAAATATGGACACTTTCACATCCAGTTTTCCGTCAAAGCGCGGATAAACAACATCTGTACCGAATGACAGCACCCACCACGCACCGACAACAACCGAAAGCCAGCTTTCACGTCCACACACGAGGCCGCGAGAGCACATTCCAAAATGTGCTCGATCGCACTCGAGAGTTGAACCTCTGACCCTCGGCGTCCAAAAACCTACTCGCTTTCAGAGTTGTTTTAGTTGATTCCTCCAGCCTTATTGTCACGTGACCCAACCCGCAGGAGTAAGTAAAAAAAGCCGTCGAAGAAA